CCATCCTCCTGCCTCAGCCTCCCGAGTAGCTGGGACCATGCACCACCATGCCTGGCTAATTTTTTCTATATATTTCTAGTTGTGCAATTAATTTCTTTCTATTTTTAGTAGACACGGGGTCTCGCTCTTGCTCAGGCTGGTCTCAAACTCCTGACCTTGAGCAGTCTGCCCACCTCGGCCTCCAGGACAGTCACTTTTAACAGTTTCTAATTCTATTTGAGATGATGGTAACCTCTGTATCTGTATTCTATCTATGCTTGTTCAGCAGTTACTTATTGGCTGGTCGCGGTGGCTCACGCCTGTAATCCTAGCACTCTGGGAGGCCAAGGTGGGCGGATTGCTCGAGGTCAGGAGTTCGAAACCAGCCTAAGCAAGAGCGAGACCCCGTCTCTACTATAAATAGAAAGAAATTAATTGGCCAACTAATATATGTATAGAAAAACTTAGCCAAGCATGGTGGCGCATGCCTGTAGTCCCAGCTACTCGGGAGGCTGAGGCAGGAGGATTGCTTGAGCCCAGGAGTTTGAGGTTGCTGTGAGCTAGGCTGACGCCACGGCACTCACTCTAGCCTGGGCAACAAAGCGAGACTCTGTCTCAAAAAAAAAAAAAACAGTTACTTATTGATTTATCAACTTTAAATGCCATTACACTTTTTTTTTTTTTGAGACAGTCTCGCTTTCTTGCCTAGGCTAGAGTGAGTGCCGTGGCGTCAGCCTAGCTCACAGCAACCTCAAACTCCTGGGGTCAAGCGATCCTCCTGCCCCAGCCTCCCGAGTAGCTGGGACTACAGGCACGAGCCACCATGCCGGGCTGATTTTTATATTATATATATTAGTTGGCCAATTAATTTCTTTCTATTTTTATGGTAGAGACAGGGTCTTGCTCAGGCTGGTTTTGAACTCCTGACCTTGAGCAATACGCCCGCCTCAGCCTCCCAGAGTGCTAGGATTACAGGCGTGAGCCACCTCGCCCGGCCTGCCATTACACTTTTTAAAAAGATAAACATTTAGAAGGCAGAGCTTACACAAGAGAATTGTGCAAGAAGGTCAGAAATGTAACCCTTGCCAGCTAGGTTTATTTTTATTTATTAATTACATATGTAACTATATAAAATATATATTTTATAATATATAATTACAAATATGCATATGTAATGTTACTTAGGCCAGGCACAGTGGCTCATGTCTATAATCCTAGCACTCTGGGAGGCAGAGGAAGGCTTCAGCCCAGGAATTTGAGACCAGCCTGGGCGACATAGCAAGACCCCCATCTCTACAAAAAATTTAAAAATTAGCCAGGCGTGGTAGTACGTTCCTATAGTCCCAGCTGCTTGGGAGGCTGATGCAGGAGGATTTCCTAAACCCAGGAGTTCGAGGTTGCATTGAGCTATGAGCATGCCATTGTACTCCAGCCTGAGTGACAGAGCAAGACCCTGTCTCTAAACAAAAAATAATGACGTATATAATATATATGACAAATACAATATGTATGAAAAATTTGTATGTAAATATAGTATTTACACAAATAGACCGTAAACATAAATGTTAATATAATGATATAATAGATTAGTATACTGTAACTATGTTATATAAATCAATAGTATACACAGTTTTATTACATATTAGTTTCTTTATTATATATATGATCAACATAAGTATTTAATACAATATTTTTATAGCATATCTATATATACAAATATGTAAATATATATCATATTACACATGAAATACATTACATACTATAATTTATACTAACTAAATATACTTACATATTTGTATGGAAATATAATTATTATTTATATACCATATCTTCAGTTGTATGCATAATTCAGATTCTTGCACTTTATGTAGTATAAAATATTATATAATATGTAAATATAAAATGTATAGAAAGTATAAATATATTATTTATATAGTCGATCTCCTATATATATAAATGGATCAGAGTCCTACATTTGAAAATGCTAATATTATAAGAGATTGTCCACATAGTTGTTAATAAGAGTAAATTATTAGGTTGCTGCAAAAGTAATTGCAGTTTTGGACTATGAATTTTAAATCATTATAACTAGGCTCTAGCACATCTTTTTTTTTTTTTTTTTTTTTTTTTTTTTTTTTTTTTTTTTTTTTTTTTTTTTTTTTTTTTTTTGAGACAGAGTCTCGCTTTGTTGCCCAGGCTAGAGTGAGTGCCGTGGCGTCAGCCTAGCTCACAGCAACCTCAAACTCCTGGGCTCGAGTGATCCTTCTGCCTCAGCCTCCCGAGTAGCTGGGACTACAGGCATGCGCCACCATGCCCGGCTAATTTTATATATATATATCAGTTGGCCAATTAATTTCTTTCTATTTTTATGGTAGAGACAGGGTCTCGCTCAGGCTGGTTTTGAACTCCTGACCTTGAGCAATCCGCCCGCCTCGGCCTCCCAAGAGCTAGGATTACAGGCGTGAGCCACAGCGCCCGGCCTCTAGCACATCTTTATTAATCAAAATAGGAACCATTGTCCTGGCACCGTGGCTCACGCCTGTAATCCTAGCACTCTATGAGCCCAAGGCTGGCAGATCGCTCAAGGTCAGGAGTTTGAAATCAGCCTGAGCAAGAGCAAGATCCCGTCTCTACTAAAAATAGAAAGAAATTAATTGGCTAACTAAAAATATATACAAAAACTTAGCCAGGCATGGTGGCGCATGCCAGCTACTCGGGAGTCTGCTTGAGCCCAGGAGTCTGAGGTTGCTGTGAGCTAGGCTGATGCCATGGCACTCTAGCCCAGGTGACAGAGTGAGACTCTGTCTCAAAAATAAATAAATAAAAATAAATGGGAGGCTGAGGCAGGAGGATCGCTTGAGCCAGGAGTTTGAGGTTGCTGTGAGCGAGGCTGACGCCACGGCACTCACTCTAGCCAGGGCAACAAAGCGAGACTCTGTCTCAAAAAATAAATAAATTAAATAAATAAATAACAAAATAGGAACCATCACAGCCAACACATTTTTGCCAACAAGAAATAAGTTTGTTTATTCCTGTAGCATAAAAATCTGGGGTTTGGGATTCGACGGACTCTTGGGAAGCATTTCCTGCCCCCCGCTGGCTGCGGAAGCGGTTTCCCTGCACAGAGTTGCGGAGTTGCTTGAAGAAGTGGTGGTCGGCGGTGAGAGGTCAGGTGAATATGGCGAATGAGGCAAAACTTTGTAGCCCGATTCGTTCAACCTTTGAAGTATTGGTTGTGTGACTGGCAGTCGGGCGTTGTCATGGAGAAGAATTGGGCCCTTTCTGGTGACCGATGCTGGTTGCAGGCATTGCAGTTTTTGGCACATTTTATCAGTTTGCTGAGCATTCTTCTCAGATGCAATGGCTTTGCCAGGATTTGGAACACTGTAGTGGATGTGCATCAGACCAGCAGAAGACCACCAGTGACCATGACCTTCTTTTGGTGGAAGTTTGGCTTTGGAGCTTCTTCTCGGTCCAGCCACCGAGCTGGTTGCTCATGCTGGTTGTTGTATAAAATCCACTTTTCTTTGCACATCACAATGTGACTGAGAAATGGTTTGTCATTGTTGTGTACAAGAAGAGATGACGACACTTCAAAACAACAATTTTTTTTTATTATTCTTGGTCAGCTCATGTGGCACCCACTTATCGAGCTTTTCCACCTGTCCAATTTGCTCCAAATGCTGAACAACCGTAGAATGGTTGATGTTGATTCTTCAGCAACTTCTCAGGTGTTGTGACAGGATCAGCTTCGATGACTGCTCTCAGTTGGTCATTGTCCACTTCCGAAGGCCAGCCACTATGCTTATCTTCAAGGCTCTCGTCCTTTGCAAACTTCTTAAACCACCACTGCACTGTATGTTCCTTAGCAGTTCCTGGGCCAAATGTGTGGTCGATGTTGTGAGATGTCTCTGCTGTTTTACAACCCATTTTGAACATGAATGAGAAAAATGCTTGAATTTGCTTTTTGTCTAACATCATATCCATAGTCTAAAATAAATATGCAATAACTAGCAAGTAATAAGTCATTAGCAAAAAAACAAAAAGTGAGAAATGTACATTAAAATGATGTATAATATAGCCACATTTATTTAAGAATGTATTCCAGGCTGGGCATGGTGGCTCACGCCTATAATCCTAGCACTCTGGGAAGCCCAGGTGGGAGGATCGCTTGAGCTCAGGAGTTCAAGACCAGCCTGAGCAAGAGTGAGCCCCCGTCTCTACTAAAAAAAAATAGAAATTATCTGGACAACTTAAAATATATAGAAAAAATTAGCTGGGCATGGTGGCGCATGCCTGTCTGTAGTCCCAGCTACTTGGGAGGCTGAGGCAGGAGGATTGCTTAAGCCCAGGAGTTTGAGGTTGTTGTGAGCTAGGCTGACGCCACTGCACTCTAGCCCAGGTGATAGAGTGAGATTCTGTCTCAAAAAAAAAAAAAAGAATGTATGCCAACATCAAATGCTAAATGTCAACAATGCTAAGGCCGCAGTTACTTTTGCACCAATCCAAATATTTGAGTGAGATGCTTAGCATGCGGTAAGAGCCTATAAATGGATAGGCTGCTGTTATTATTTATTAGCGCTAATAGACTGTGGGATGTTTATTCTGTGTCAGGTGTCACCCCCTGTGTTTTAGGTGCCACCTTCTGTGTTTTAGGTGCATTGTTTCCTTTAATGTTTTATTTAGTCCTAGGAGTAGGCATTTTCCTATTTAATCCTAGGAGTAGGCATTTTTGTTATCCCACTTTCCTGATGAAGCAACTAAGGCTGAGAATAGTTAAACCCCTGTGTCTGTAGTGTGAAGCCACTGCGAAAAGCCCCATGCATGTAGTAAATTCGTGATTCTCCAGTTCTTGAGTGTTTTATTTGTCTCTGGGGCCCTTGCATTTATTTTTAAAATGTCCTTTTGGTTTTCTGAGCAGTTTTTGTACATGGGGGGCAGCGCTGGAGGAGGGAGGGGCAGGTGTGATGGCCCCCACAGCCTGCAGCTCACCTGGGGCATTTCCACTCTTCTTCCCACAGAAGGATTTACTGCTCCGTGAAATTCCAAGCAGCACCACCTCCCCGCGCTCCAGGAAGACGGGCGTGGAGAGGGCGGTGGTGAAGGAGATCTGCGGGAAGTACCTGGAGAGGGGCGCGGGGCGGCTGCCGCAGGACTGCGCAGAGGCTTTGGCCACAGCCGCCTGCTTCTGCCTGCGCAGGCGGAACGCCAGCCTGGCGGAGGTGAGCCTCAGGCTCAGCCGGGCCTCGCTGCCGGGGGCAATACGGGTCCATCTTATCAGGGACCATCCCTTCACCAAGACGCGATTTCTCAAACTAGAGCCGTGTCTGTTCGCAAGTGGCAGAATGGCTGGAGCGCACGTCAGCAAAAGGGGGTGGCGTGTGGATCACGGGGACCTGAGTGCAGGTGGGTTGCTGGCACAGGACCAGACCCTCGGATGTCCCTGGACCTCGGCCTGCTCTCTCTGATCTGCTGGCTGCTTTCTCTTGTCTCTCGGCCCCTTTCTCTTTCTCTCCCCCCTCTTGGGGAGGGCATTTGGCCACCTCCATTTACATGTTGTCTAAATGTCGGCAGTCTGGTGTTGATGTGGCAGTGCCACAGTATTGGGGACCCAGACTCCCTTTATATTGTTGCTCTGCTGTCATTACCATGTGGCTTCTATTTCAGGGTTCTGTGGTTGCACTAGCTCAGGCCATCGCGTCTGCATTCCATCCAGTCAAAGAAGGTTAAAGGAAAGAGGAGGACATACTCCCTTCCTTTTAAAAGTGTGACCTGGAAACGCATACATCACATTTCCTTACAAAATGTGGAACAGAACATAGTTATATGGCCACGCCTAGCTACAAGGGAATATAGTCTTTAGATTGGCAAATATTTATTAGACGTCAATTGTGAAGATTTATCTCAAGAGTTGACATTTTGACTGGGCCTTGAAGGATCGCGATATATTTGCTATATAGAATAGAGGGGATGGGACTCTAGGTTTTCAAAGAGGGATAAGAAATGGTCTTTGTCCCCAGTACATCACTACCAGGCTAGGAAGATGAGAGGCCAGCTGGGTCCTGCATTGGAAGAAAAGCAGGCCTGGGCTAGTGGTCAGCTCTGCCACGTACTGTCTGGGTGGCTTTAGTCAGGGAACTTAACCTCTCTGATCTTTTAATTTTTTAATCTATAAAAACTCATTGTTAGGCCGGGCGAGGTGGCTCACGCCTGTAATCCTAGCACTCTGGGAGGCCGAGGCGGGCGGATTGCTCAAGGTCAGGAGTTCGAAACCAGCCTTGAGCAAGAGCGAGACCCCGTCTCTACTATAAATAGAAAGAAATTAATTGGCCAACTAATATATGTAGAAAAAATTAGCCGGGCATGGTGGCGCATGCCTGTAGTCCCAGCTACTCGGGAGGCTGAGGCAACAGGATCGCCTGAGCCCAGGAGTTTGAGGTTGCTGTGAGCCAGGGTGATGGCACAGCACTCACACTAGCCTGGGCAACAAAGAGAGACTCTGCCTCAAAAAAAAAAAAAAAAAAGGAAAGGGGGTTCTTTCCCCAATAAGCTCTGTGTGGAAAAATCCCAGAGAAGGATTCTATTGGCTTGCTTAGGTCACGTGCCCAAACCTGGAGTAATCATTAGGGTCAGAGGAATGGGGTACTGTGATTGGCCAATCTAGGGTCATGTGATCTCATCTGTGGTCCAGGTGTGTGGGGAGCAAGTTCAGATCTTTCCAGTGGAAAGATGCTGTTTTTCCAAAGCAACCAGCATTTGGTTCTCCAGTGTCTCTCTCTCGCTCCTCTGTGGCCTGGGGGACCAGGCATTAGATTTTGGATTTCAGAAAGGACTCCTGATGGCACTCTTGTCCCTCTCCTCCCCAAGGTGCGTGGCTCCGTGGCTGCTGTGGAAGAGCAGCTCCACGGTCAGGAAACGTCACACTCTTGGCGCGGGCTCTCTGAGGTCACAAGCTCTTCCTCCAACACCCCAGAAGAAACAGATGACGTTGACAATTCCAGCCCTGATGCCTCTTCCTCTGTGAGCGGGGCACCCGGGGCGGGGGCTACTGCCTCGTTTCTCCCCACAGAACTCAGGGAAGGAAGGCTGCAGGCCGCCTCCTCCTGCGTGGCCTCTGCAGGCGTGGAGCCTCCCCAGGACGGTAAGCCACGGAGGTCATCGTGCATGTCCATGCCCGTGTGTGTCCCTACCTTCAGCCCATCATTATTCTCTCCGTCACCCTCTTTCACTGTCACAGTCATTCAGCCATTCACCAGCCAGCCAACGCACAAAGAAAACCCTGGGAGTTGTCCATGACGCCTTCCTCTCCTTCCTGCCCCCCACATTCATCTCTTACCCAGTCCCGTCCATTTGCCTCCCAAGTCTCTCTCACCTCCGTCTACCTCTCTGCGTTGCCCCCTTGTCTGAGCTGCTGTCCTGGCGGGGTGCCTGCCTGGCCACCTGCCTCCTCGCTGTGCTCTGGCCCCTCCCTCACCAGTTCTTTCTCCAGGAGCCAGCCGGAGTGACATACGTACATACATACATACATACATACATACATGCATACATTAATTAATTACAGGGTCTCACGGTGTTGCCCAGGCTACAGTGAGTGCCTTGGCGTCAGCCTAGCTCACAGCAACCTCCAACTCCTGGGCTCAAGCGATCCTCCTGCCTCAGCCTCCCGAGTAACTGGGTCTACAGGCATGCGCCACCATGCCTGGCTAAGTTTTTCTATATATATGTTAGTTGGCCAATTAATTTCTTTCTATTTATAGTAGAGACGGGGTCTCGCTCTTGCTCAGGCTGGTTTCAAACTCCTGACCTCGAACAATCCGCCCGCCTCGGCCTCCCAGAGTGCTGGGATTATAGGGGTGAGCCACCTCACCCGGCTTTTACAAACACACTGCATGTCACCCTTTGTGTAAAGTCCCCATTGCACTTAGGGACCAAGTCAGAGCCCTTCCTGGGACCAGAAGGGCCCTGTGTGGTCTGTCCCTGCCCACCGTTCCATTCTCACTTCACAACACAAACCCTGTCCTTGCCAGCCAGCTACTCCTAAAGACACCTTTCATTTCTGCCACTCAGGTGCAAATACACCAGATTTCCTTCTTAAAAGTTAGGAAGGCCTTTTTTTTTTCTTCTTTTTTTTTTAACCTAATTATACAGAAAGGAAGTCCTTTTCAGTGATGCGTCCCTGTCCCCTAGTAAGTGTTGTTTGATAAATGTCCCAGCCTCTGACTGCTCCTCCTCCCATGGGGAGGACGGGAGCCAGAGAGGCTGTGAGCCTGTTCCCCCCACCATGGGCAGGATTGTGGGAGCAGGCTGCGGGGCTTCCCTGCAAAGGCAGAAGGGATGAACATGCTCATTACACTTGGCCTGATTCAGAAACCTGATTTAGGCCGGGCACGGTGGCTCATGCCTGTAATCCTAGCTCTTTGGGAGGCTGAGGCGGGCGGATTGCTCTAGGTCAGGAGTTCAAAACCAGCCTGAGCAAGAGCAAGACCCTGTCTCTACTATAAACAGAAAGAAATTAATTGGCCAACTAACATATCTAGAAAAAAAAATTAGCCGGGCATGGTGGCGCATGCCTGTAGTCCTAGCTACTCAGGAGGCTGAGGCAGGAGGATCGCTTGAGCCCAGGAGTTGCAAGTTGCTGTGAGCTAGGCTGACGCCACGGCACTCACTCTAGCCTGGGCAACAACAACAAAAAAAGAAACCTGATTTAAGTGAATCTAAGACTTATAATAATAGTAACTTTTGTTCAAATTGCTCTTTTACTTCCTGTTGAACATTAGTTACAGAGACTTCGTGGCAAATTGAGATCAATGAGGCCAAAAGGAAACTGATGGAGAATATTCTGCTCTACAAAGAGGAGAAACTGGACAGTTTGGAGCTTTTTGGCCTCTGATGGGTGGAACACAGCTGAGGACCCACATCCTCAATCAAAAAGACGAGCACGGGATCAAGAAAAGGTCTGCAGCAGAAGCCAGGATCTGGCAGGAAACACACAACTGATGGTCAGCTTTCTTGGGAGGGAGGGAAACTTTCATTTTGCCACAGTGAGTTAGGGGAGAAGAGACGTGAAAATCCAGGAAGTCCTCTTCCTTTCTGGGGTTTGTTGGTCAGAGCCAGGTATCGGAGGAAACTGAAGCAGCAACTGGTTCATGGGCCTAGGATGTGGGTGATGTTATGGTTCTGGGGAGAGTGTAACGATAGCCACCCCAGCAGATACCGTTACCTGTCAGCCCTTGGCCTTGTGCTCTGATAACTGACAGAGCATTCTGCAACGCCAGTGGCATTTTCCAAAGTTAAGATCTCTGGGTCATGTTTGCTGCCAGCTGTCTGCAGACTTCCACACTCTGAAAGATTGTCAACTTGAGTCCCAGTGCAGTTCTTGACTCGCCTCTTCAGGTCTCAAGTTTTACAGATGCCAGACACGTGGCAAAGGGCTCCGTAGGCTTGCCACTGCCCCTGCTGGAAATCTTGCCACCTGCAGGTATTTATTAAGTGCCTGCTCAGCACCTGTATCCTCCCATCCCACTAATGCTAGTATTTTTTAATGGCGCTTTTATTTTGAGAATATGTGTTTATTTATGGCTGAATAAAAAATCAGGAGAACGTGTTTCATGTCTGGTTCTGCTGCTAATTAAGTCAATGCTTTACTGCCTGGGACCTCAGTTTCCTTGTAAGTAAAATAACACCTGCTCATTCTCCCTCCCTGGGCTGTTGGGAGGAACAGGTGAGGCAGTGCTTACAGAAGTACTTGAAAAATGCACTTTTCCTGTTTTTCCTGTTTTATAAAAGAAATAAAAGGTATTACATGTATATTTCTGCCATGTACTTAATGTTTATGCAGTGGGTATATTTCTGAAAAGTCATGTTGCAAATCTTTTTGTGAAACTTGCTATTTAAAATTCACTGGAAGAAATGTCATATTTAAAATAATCCTACTATAGTGTTTTTTGGTTTTTTTGAGACAGAGTCTCACTCTGCCCAGGCTAGAGTGCCATGGCGTCAGCCTCGCTCACAGTAACCTCAAACTCCTGAGCTCAAGCGATCCTTCTGCCGCAGCCTCCTGAGTAGCTGGGACTACAGGCACGCACCACCATGCCCAGCTAATTTTTTCTATTTTTGGTAGAGACAGGGTCTCCCTCTTGCTCAGGCTGGTCTCGAACTCCTGAGCTCAAATGATCTGCCTGCCTTGGTCTCTCAGAGTCCTAGGATTACAGGTGTGAGCCACTGTACCCGGCCAAGAAGGAAGCCTTTTTCCCACTGAGATCTTAGTCTCCAATTTCTTCTTCCCAGAGGCGGCCACTGTCACTAGATTGGAGTGTCCTTCTAGTGACAATAAAATTTTTTTTTTATCTTGGTACTCAATTAGTCATTAGGGAAATGCAAATGAAAACCTCAATGCGATACCACTTAACATTCACTAGGGTAGCTATAATCAAAACAACAGACAAGTCCAGGCGCGGTGGCTCACGCCTGTAATCCTAGCACTCTGGGAGGCCGAGGCGGGCGGATTGCTCGAGGTTAGGAGTTTGAAACCAGCCTGAGCAAGAGTGAGACCCTGTCTCTACTATATAAATAGAAAGAAATTAATGGGCCAACTAATATATATAGAAAAAATTAGCCGGGCATGGTGGCGCATGCCTGTAGTCCCTGCTACTCAGGAGACTGAGGCAGGAGGATTGCTTGAGCCCAGGAGTTTAAGGTTGCTGTGAGCTAGGCTGATGCCATGGCACTCACTCTAGCCTGGGCAACAAAGCGAGACTCTGTCTCAAAAAAAAAAGACAGACAAGTGTTGGCCAGGATGTGGAAAAATTGGAGCCCTCATACACGGCTGGTAGGAATGTAAAATGGTGCACTTGGAAAAAGACTTTGGAGAGTTTCCATATGACCCAGGAATTCCACTCCTAGGTATCTACCCAAGAGAAATGAAAACCTATGTCCATACAAAAGCTTACAAACAGACATTCATAATAGCATTATTTGTAATAACCAAAAAGAAAAAAAAGTAGAAACAACTTGAATGTCCATCAACTAATGAGTAGATAAAATGTGGTATATCCACACAATGGAATGTTATTCAGCCACAAAAAGCAAGTATTGACACATGTTAAAGCTTAGATGAACCTTGAAAAGATTATACTAAGTAGAAGCCAGTTACATATTGTATGATTCCATTTTTATTTTGCCAGAATAGGCAGATCTATAGACAGAAACTAGACTAGTGGTGTCCTAGGAGTGTGGATGTGGGGGTTTAAGATGAGGAGTTAGGATGTACATGAGATTTCTTTTTTGGGGTGATGACAATGTTCTAAAATTTGATTATGGCAATGATTGCATGACTCTGTAAATATATTAAGAACACTTTTTTTTTTGAGATAGGGTCTTTACTCTGTTCCTCAGGCTAGAGTTCAGTGGTGTCATTATAGCTCACTGTAATCTCAAACTGCTGGGCTTATATGATCCTCCTGTCTCAGCTTCCAGAATAGCTGCTACTACAGGCTCGAGCCACCATGCCTGGCTAATTTTTTTTCTTGTTTAAATTTTTTGTAGAGACAGGGTCTTGCTATGTTGCTCAGGCTGGTCTCAAACTCAGGGTTCAAGGGATCTCCCGTCTCAGCCTCCCAAAGTGCAAGGATTACAGGCATGAGCCATCAAGCCCAGCCTGAATCATATACATTAAATACATTTTATTTATTTATTTAATAATTGAATTTTTCTTTAGATGTTGACATGGAATAAATGAATTTAAAAATTCAGCTAAATGAATTTTAAGTTAACATAAATTGTATCTCAGTAAAACTGTTAGAAACAAACACACAAAGTGGTTATCCTCAGGCATTTGAAAAAAGAAAACCACATTTATCTTAGATTCCCCCCTCCTCTCTATTTAGCCACACACAAGGGTATTCCATTCACACTCTTCTACACCCTTTGTTTTTGAACATTGCCAATCTAATAAGTGAAAAGTTATAATTTTATTTGTACAGTTTTCATGACTGAGGTGGAGCTATCTTTTCATATGTTTAAGAGCCTTGGGGCTGGGTCCAGTGGCTCAGGCCTGTAATCCTAGCACTCTGGGAGGCCGAGGCGGGCGGATTGCTCAAGGTCAGGAGTCCGAAACCAGCCTGAGCAAGAGTGAGACCCCATCTCTACTAAAAATAGAAAGAAATTAATTGGACAACTAAAAATATATAGAAAAAATTAGCTGGGCATGATGGTGCATGCCTGTAGTCCCAACTACTCAGGAGGCTGAGGCAGAAGGATTGCTTGAGCCCAGGAGTTTGAGGTTGCTGTGAGTGAGGCTGACACCACGGCACTCTAGCCTGGGCAACACAGTGAGACTGTCTCAAAAAAAAAAAAAAAAAAAAAAAGCCTTTGGTAATTTGTTTCTGGTCATTAGTTGATTTCCTTTGCCCATTTTAATCTGAATTATCTTATTAACTTGGGAGAATCTTTTTTTATTCTCTTTCTCCCCACCCCCACCTCCAGTCCCATCCCCATCCCCAGGGGTCTATCTCCCCTCCCCACTGTACACAGTGGTCTGGGTTCAGCCCCTCCCCAGACTCCAGGAGCTTCCCAGGTTGTGTCCCTTGGCTCCGTAGCTGTGCACCAGCCAGCTCTCTCCCTGGCCACCCACTGCCTCCTGGCACTCCCAAGGGGTGACTGGTGACTTTGTAGCCAGCACTCTCCCTTCCCAACACGTGGTCCTCAGGCCTGCCTTGGTGACCTCAGGTGCACTCACTACCCCTTGTGGTGAGAATTTTCTCTGGAAGTGGCAGCCACCAGCCAGCCCTCCCAGCTGCCCTTGCCCACCTGGACCTCCAGGCACCCCGGGGAGGGAGCCAAGATGCCTGGCACTCTTTCGGGCCCTGGCAGGGTGCAACCCAAGTGGCCAGACTGGTGTGAGTGGGCGCGGGTGTGGAGTGAGGATGGGTAAGAAGCCAGTCTGGGGAGAATTAAACCTCATGGCTTAATTACTGAGGGTTGAGACCTGTGTGGCCCACAGGCTTGATGGGTCTGGTTGACTGCAGCGACTGCAGCCCTGTTGGGAGGGACAGGAGGAAAAGGGAATCGGAAAGCACAGGATCCTTGGTGAGCTCAGGGAGCACAGGGTGGGGCTGGTCTCATCAGCAGATCTCTCACCCCTCCAGCCCTTGCCCAGAGCCCTGGCTCACTCCCAAAACTTAGGGGACAAGAGGCCAGGCCTGGGCTCCAAGACCTATCTGCTTAAAAATAAGAGGACAAAGTGGGAGCAGAAAAGCTGATCTTGGCGACTGTAAGGGTCCCACAGAGGGCCTTTCATTCATTCTTCGGCCCTAGAGCCCTTCCTAGGTGCTAAGGTGCTTCCTGCACACCTGTCTTTTCTGCTCCCTTCCAACTTCAAGCAAGGGGAGTGGGGGAGCTTGTGCAATCCAAGGGGGCCTTGCCTGTTTAGTTTCACACCTTTTCAGATCTCTTCCAAGAGTTGTGGGGGCCCAGGGGAGGCCAGCTGGGAAAAGTCCACAGATACAGCTGTCACTTTCTGCACCTCATTCCCTGAATGCACCTGGCAGCCGGCATGTCTGCTTTGCATTGCACTTCCAGGAGGAGAGCCTTTTTTTTTTTTTTTGAGACAGAGTCTCGCTTTGTTGCCCAGGCTAGAGTGAGTGTCCTGGCATCAGCCTAGCTCACAGCAACCTCACACTCCTGGGCCCAAGCGATCCTCCTGCCTCAGCCTCCCGAGTAGCTGGGACTACAGGCATGTGCCACCATGCTCAGCTAATTTTTTCTATATATTTTTAATTGGCCAATTAATTTCTTTCTATTTTTTAGTAGAGACGTGTCCCGCTCTTGCTTAGGCTGGTTTGGAACTCCTGACCTTGAGCAATCCTCCCGCTTCCCAGAGTGCTAGGATAACATGCTTGAGCCACCGCGCCCGCCTCGTTTTGTGGCTTCTAACTTCTCATTCTGCCACTAGCTGGGTGTGTCACTTGGTCTCTTTGAGCCAGTTTCCAGCTCTTCAAATGTGGTGACAACGCTTTGCACAGGGTTGGTGTAGGTTCAATGAGCGAATCCGGGTCTGAAAGCGCTCAGCAAGGGACGGGCCAACGTGGAGCAGCAGTCTTGTGAGATGGGGTCCCGGAGGAACGGGGGTCCCGGACGCCCCCTAGCGCACAAAGGGCCGGCCTGAGGAACGGGGGTCCCAGACGCCCCTAGCGCACGAAGGGCCGGCCTGAGGAACGGGGGTCCCGGACGCCCCCTAAGCGCACAAAGGGCTGGCCTGAGGAACGGGGGTCCCGGACGCCCCCTAAGCGCACAAAGGGCTGGCCTGAGGAACGGGGGTCCCGGACGCCCCTAGCGCACAAAGGGCCGGCCTGAGGAACGGGGGTCCCGGACGCCCCTAGCGCACAAAGGGCCGGCCTGAGGAACTGCGATCTTGCCTCAGCTTCGCGCTCTTCGAACACGTGAGTGGCTCCGCCCCATCTTGCTTCCAACCAATAGACGAGCTCGTAACGCGTAGATTCCCGCCTCCAAGCCTTCTGACCAAGAGGCGGGCTCCATCTTGCCCGGAGTCCCGCCCCTTGGCCCTTCTAGCAATGGGCGCTCTCCGTTTAGCGCAGGCCCCGCCCGCGCCGCTCGCCGACTGCGGGCCTCAGGGTTGGTTTCGGAGGGCGGACGCCGCGGAGGCCGGAGTGGTTGCAGCTCGGGCGGAGTCCGTGCCGGGCCGCAGGACTGGGGCGGGCGGCGAGCGGGCGGCCAGGCGGGACGGCGGGGCAGCAGGGCGGGCGTCTGGGCCGCGGCGGCCGTGGCTCTGTCTGGAAACGGCGGACTGGGGCGCTGCCGGCTCCCCAGGGGCGGCTCGGGCCCCTTCCGGCCCGGGGCTGGTCGGCGGGGCCGCGGGCGCAGGGCGGGCTGCTGCGTGGCTTTGGCCCTGCCCTCCGGGCGGCCCTAGGCTGCCAGGGCCTTCGGGCCGCGCGCCTGCCCCTCGGGCTGCGGGTCTGGCCGCGGTGTGGGGACCTTAAAGCGCCCCGTGGTCTTTTGAAGCGCTCTGACAGCTCTGAAGGGCTTTGTATTCCAAACTAAATCGAAGCGCTTTGTAGTCCCGGAAGCGCTTTGGCGTCTCCGAAGTAGCACCGTGCAAACTGAAGCGCATGGTGATCTCGGAAGCACGTTGTGGGCTTGGAAACCAAACCGAAGCCTTTAGTAAATTTCGGATTGTTTTGACTTCTCCGAAGCGCTTTGGAATTGCAAACTGAGTCGAAGCGCTTTGGCATCTCTGAAACCTTGAGAACTGTGATGGGCAGTGGAAAGAAGAGGGAAAGGTCAGTGAGGCCAGCCCCTGGCTCTGGCCTTCTGGCTTGGTCCCCCCCTTTAGGGGGATCGGGGTGGCGGGAATTTGAGCTGGGGCAGCCAGTAAGGATGGTGTTGGAATCCAGGCCCCCTTTACCTTGCAGGTGCCCATGGCGTCGGAGCGGCGCAAGGTCAAGTACCACTGGAGCAGCACGTCGGAAGGGTGTCCCAGCAAGCGCAGCTGCCTCCGGGAGCCCGGTGATGTGGCCCCCTCCAGCCGGCCAGCTGGTAGCTCTGTGTCGCGCTCAGAAAGGGTCAGCAGCCCCAAGCGCCTGAAAGCCCCGAAGTTGGACGATGTGGCTTGCACGCCGCGGTTATCCTGGGGCTCATCCCGAGGCAGAAATTCCTCCTCGCCTTCTTCCAGCCCAGGTGTGGGCGGGGCCGCATCCAAAGGGTGCCTGATTCGGAGCACTCGCGGGTTCCTTTCGTCAGGGGGATCCCCTCTACGCCCTGCCAACCCCTCTCTAGAAGAAATGGCTTCTCTAGAGGAGGAAGCCTGCAGCCTTAAGGTAGGTGGCTGCCGCGCCTTGCAGTCGGTGAAGCCCCTTCCACTTAGCTTGAGAGGTTGGGGATGGGAATTTTGGTGAAGGAGACTAAAACAGATCATATGCTTGAAGGTCTCTGGCGTGTTCCTAGACCAAGCAGTCTGCCCCAGGTGACCTGAAGTTCAGTAGAGAGGTAGTTTGCAACTTGGCAGCACTCCGGAACTATTTGGAAGGCTTAAAGGTCCCTCCTATCACAGAGAAACTGATTTAACTGGGCTTCGGTTCGGACTGGGCTTCCATCTTTTTAAGTGCCTCCCAGGTGATTGTAAATGTGCATCTAGGTTGGAGAAGCACCGCAGCAGAGGGTGGAGTGCGTGCTTCAGAGACACAGATGTTACTTGATTTGGTTGTCAGTTTAAGGAATTGTGCCTTTGTACTCTGAGCCACTCTGAATCACAGAGCCAAAACAAAGAACCTGGTTCTTGGTGTCGTTTTTCACCAAAGTGATGGTTTTCATCACGTTGGGTTTTGCTTAGTGGGGTGGGGTTTTTTGTTTTTTTTTTCTTAAGGTTAAAGGTTTAGTGCCCCAATGGTAGCACACAAAAGGGTACTTGGGGCAGACTGAGCAGTGCTTCACAGAGAAGGTACATTTCATCTGCTCATTCAATTAGACTCTGAACAAATAGTTATCATTGATGTCCTAGTTTGTGCCAGGCAGTGTTCTAGGTGTTTGGGATTCTTTGGTAACAAAGCAAAGATATGGCCTTCTTAGAGTTTGCATTCTAGGTTTTAGAGCTCCAGACCTTAAAAGGTGAGGAGTTGTTCTGCCTGTGGAGGAGTGGGAAAAAAAAGTCTTATTTCAGATGAGAAGGGCTGTCCTGAAAGTTATTTTACAAAAGCAATAAAAACAAGTCCTAAGGAAAGTGAATTTATTTTTAAACTTTTCCTTGGCGGTTTCTTAGGTAGAGCTGAAAAATGAAAGTGTATTTGGCAGTTTATCCTGGGGAACCCGAAGTGCCCAGGTTTTTTTAGTGTGGACCTCGCAGTCCGAACTCTTGTGTGGGCACGTGGATTTTTCTTCTCTTTTAATTCACAAGTAATGGTTAGTTGAAAAGCTCTGTCTTTGGCATAAACCATACTATGACTCAAATGTAAATCAGTAAGTATGGGGTTTTGTTCATACAATTTAATCTTGTCATTAATCCTTTTTGATAAAATTTCAGAGGACTTAGGTACAGTATAAAATATCAATTGAGGCCGGGCGTGGTGGCTCACACCTGTAATCCCAGCACTCTGGGAGGCTGAGGCGGGCGGATTGCTTGAGGTCAGGAGTTCAAAACCAGACTGAGCAAGAGCAAGACCCTGTTTCTACTATAAATAGAAAAAAATTAATTGGCCAACTAATATATATAGAAAAAAAATTAGCCGGGCATTGTGGCGCATGCCTGTAGTTCCAGCTACTTGGGAGGCTGAGGCAGCAGGATTGTTCGAGCCCAGGAGTTTGAGGTTGCTGTGAGCTAGGCTGATGCCACGGCACTCACTCTAGCCTGAGCAACAAAGCAAGACTCTATCTCAAAAACAACAACAACAACAAAAAAAAAAACCAAGGTACATAGTTCCCATTGTAAAACAAATAAAAACAAGGTACAGTACTTTACTCATCTTGATGAATGACAAATGCCTCTCTTACCTTTCCCCTCCATCTGCTCCTCCTCCCCCCTTGCTCTGCCATGCGTGAGCTTGTCTGTCTCATAAATCCTAGAAAGTAGGGACAGCTAAGGGACACTCAGAAAAATGGCATAATCTCACCCCAGTCCTGCCAGGGTACCCTCACTCCCCTTCTGTGTCTGCTGTGTAAACTTTGAGGGGTACACACTTGGCTTTGTGTCCCTTTCCCCTAGCCTTCAACACAGAGGCTCTGTGCCAGGTCCCAGAATACTCAGAGAGGAAAGTGTTAGGCTGGGCATTTTAGAATCGCTGCTGGCTGACCATACACTGTTCCCTTCTTGACAGTCATTTGAGAGGTTTTCTCAAATTCTAATGTTACTCTTATGATCTCAGCTTACTCTTTATAGAGGAGGTTAATTGTATTATGAGCACCTTTATGTACTCTATATTTAGTCTTTATTATGACATATCTAAATTTCTCCATTTAATTTAGGGAAGGAAGAATGGAAGGGAAAATTTGAGCATTTATGATGTGACAGACTCTGATCAACTGTGATTCTCAGTGTTTGACCTATAGACTGTCCCATCCTCCTAAGAGTCTCATGAAGAAATAAGGTGGTCTTATCTCTGCATATCAGTCCACAAATAGTTTCATATCAATTAACAAATACTTGAGCACCTACTATGTGTAGGCACTGGGAAAATGAGACTTGGAAAGGTTAAATAATCTGACCAAGGCCATGTGGCTTGTAAGCAGCAGAGCTGTGGGATAATCCCAGATTGGTCTGACTTCAAAGCCAGTGTGCTTTGCACTGCTGCCTCTGGGCCCACCTGCTGTGCCCCAGCCTGGCATTGATGGAGGGGTGGAGGGATGAAGGCGGCAAGGTCCTTCCCTTGATGAGTGCTGTGCAAGGGGAGACACCAGGCACAGCAAACCATTGAGTAGCTTGGCTCTCGAATGATAGATCTTTCACAATAACTGCTTCCTGCATCTTCCCTTGGCAGATGTCCAGTGCTTGGGTGGAGAGTGCTAGGGGCTGGAGAGTTATTTTACAAAAGCCAAGGACAGTAAGGCAGTGCTTGACAGACTGAGAAATCACTTGCTGCAGGGCATTGAGCATAGTGCTGTAACAGGAATGTTTGAAGTACCTGAGGGTCAAAGGAATGAGCGTCTTAACTATCTGGGAAGGTCTTTACAGAAGAGTTGGCATCCGAGGTAAAGGACATTTAGGCATAGTGTGCCCAAAAGGTGTCAGGAGATGCTGCTTGTCTGCAGTGCTCGGGCACTTCTGGCCCCAAGGGCCGCCTTCTCCCTCGTCCCTGGCACCTCTCTGCATTCCCTGGACATCTGGGTGTTTGGAGAAAGATGGGAGATGAGGCTGGGCAGCCAGGCTGGGGGCCAGCCTGTGGATGGCTTCTGATGAGTTCAGAAGTTCCAGATGTGTTCTGTAGGCACACACAGAGCCTTTGAAGGGTTTTAAGCTGGGGCATGCTATTGTGGGAGTTGCCTTTTAGAGCTCCTCTGGCACACTGAAGGAAGGCTAGAAGGGAGAAGGCAGCGAGCTATTGTGATTGTTCAGGTTCGTGGAGGCGGGGCTAGAGCAGTGTCTCTGCTTGGTCTCCCCCCCTTTCTCTGGAGATGCACAGTTCACCACGCAGTGCTACTGGGAAGAATGAAATCTCATTTTTGAAGCAGGTAGTTTGTCTCTTCTGCACTTTCTGCCCTTGTTCTGCCTACTCTTTACCTTTAGAGCCTCTTATCACCTGTGGAAACTCCTCTTCAGTGACCTTGATCCATCATGGGACCTCACTGTCTTTGACCCCTACAGCCTTTGATAGTGTTTCTCACTTTCACATTTCCACTGTTCTTCTCCCTTGGTTTCCAGGATGTCGGGGAGGACTTGAGTTTGCATCCTGTGTCTGCTACTTACATGCTGTGTGGCACTTTCCCTTTCTGCAAATGAGGAATGACAGCTGTGGCAGCTCTGTAAATTGTAAATCCATATGAAAGCATAAAGTATGTTATCATATTCCTAATCGTTTTCTCCCCCAGCTACAGTCCTGGGCTTCACTACCAGGGTTGGCAAACTGCTGGTCTGTGGAATGAATGTAGCCTGCTAGGTCTCCGTCGTATTTAAATTTTTGGAAAATTCACATTAAGAATTCATGACCGCAGGCCAGGCACGGTGGCTCTCGCCTGTAATCCTAACACTCTGGGAGGCCGAGTAGGATGGATCGTTTGAGCTCAGGAGTTGGAGACCAGCCTGAGCAAGAGCAAGACCTCATCTCTACTAAAAATAAAAAAAAAAAAATAGCTGAACAACTAAAAATATAGAAAAAAATTAGCCAGGCATGGTGGCACATGCCTGTAGTCCCAGCTACTCAGGAGGCTGAGGCAGGAGGATCGCTTGAGCCCAGGAGTTTGAGGTTGCTGTGAGCTAGGCTGACACCACGGCACTCACTCTAGCCCAGACAACAAAGCGAGACTCTGTCTCAAAAAATAAATAAATAAATAAAAACAAAACAGTTTATCTTTTTAGGCTTTGTTTGTAAGTATATACATACAAAAGTATTTTTTCCTTTTCAAAAGTGAGAGTACACCCTGTACTTGTTAGTTTGCTACTTGTTTTTTTACTCTTACTATGTAGCATGAACGTTAGAGCAAACTTTTTTCTTTTTAAAAGCTGCAATGTGTTTTATGACAGCAGTCCCCAACCTTTTTGGCTTGAAGGGTTGGTTTCATGGAAGATAATTTTTCCACGGCTGAGGATGGGCATGGTTTCAGGGTAATTCCAGTGCATTACATTTATTGTGCACTTTATTTCTATTATTACAATGTCACTTTCACTGATGAGGTTTTGATGAATCGGAAGGCAATTGATTATTATGGTCTCAGTGCAGTCCAACGTCTCTGCTAATGGTAATCTGCATTTGCAGTCGCTCCCCAGAGCTGGCATCACCACCTCAGCTCCACCTCAGCTCATCAGGCACTGGATTCTCGTAAGGAGTGTGCAGCCTACATCCCTCGAATGTGCCGTTTGTGGTCGGGTTTGCGCTCCTGTGAGAATCTAATGCTGCAGCTGACCCGGCAGGAGGCGGGGCTCAGGCTGTGATGTGGAGGATGGGGAGCAGCTGTGAGTATAGAGGAAGCTGCACTCCCTTGCTTGCTGCTCACTTCCTGCAGTGCAGCCTGGTTCCTAACAGGCCACAGACTGGTACCCGCCCACAGCCCGGGGGTTGGGACCACAGTTTTATGGTAGGTGCCTGTTTTTCAGCCTGTCCCCTATCTGGACATTCCTTGGAATGGATTCCTCTTTTCCTCAGTAGAGGAAAAGGATTAGTGAGCTTGGTGTGTAGAGTTCCTTTCTCTGAGTGTGTTTCCTTTTGAGAGGAATTTAATACAAATGAATTAGAAGTTTCATTTTAGAGGCAGCAGAGTGCCGTGGGTAATGGTCCAGTGCTTATGGAATGTCTCTAGGGGAGATTTATGGGGTGTTCTTATACCAGGCTAGGATTAGACTGAATCAGAGTTTCCACGGCAAATTTTGCAGACAGATAATCTAGTTTTTTCCCTGTGGACTCCTGGAGTGAGTGGGTGCAGAAGGGAAATGAAGGGGCCTGAGACTTCACTTCTGTCTCTGAGGAGATTCAAGGTTGGGGGCAGTTAGAGTCTCCCATTGACCTCAATGCATTCTTTGGGAGACCGATGCCCCTTCCAACACCAAGGCTATGATTTGAGGGAAGGCGTTTGCAGAGTACTTTAAGGAGGTTGGGGTAAAGTGGGAAGAACACTGCACTGAGGACTCAGGAGATTGGGGTTCCCTGGGCTAGCCCTTCCCCTCACTGGATCTTCAGGTTTCCTTGACTCTTAGATGTTGGATTGGGCTAGCTGGTTTCTAAGGACCTTTTCAGTGGGAAAACTTTGAGCGTTTTTGCCTGTGTGTGGTCTGAAGTGTGTGGTAGTGCCTGCCTTCCAGGGGCCCATAGTCTGGTGTAATCAGGCTGCTAATTTCAGCTCATTCCTTCCTACTATAGCAAGAGTATGTCACCTGATAAGCAGAAAGTGAATAATAAGAAATGGCAGCAATTCAGTCTCTTTTACAGTGGCACTTCTCAGTGGGGTGAGACGAAAACCACCACCTGCAGAGAATCTTTGCCTTAGCCACAGTCACTTGCCCTTTGGCTGGTGGAACCACCACTGATTTATAAGTTGCCAAATGCTTCACCTTACAAAATTGCTTTTGGGACAGTCCCTTCCAAATCTGTGTTTTCTTCCAGGTTGATTCCAAAGATAGTTGTCGTAACTCCATGAACTCTGAATGTGCAGCTGAAGCTGAGGGTCAGAATGATACAATTGAGGAACCAAACAAGCTTCAGAGAAGGAAGAGGGATAGACTTCGAGACCAAGGCTCCACAATGATCTACCTGAAGGCTATTCAGGGCATCCTGGGGAAATCAATGCCAAAAAGGAAGGGCGAGGCTGCCATTAAGGCAAAGCCAAGTACAGGAGAGCATCCCAGCCGTGGAGAAGGACCAGTCCGGAGTGAAGGACCCACCAGGAGTGGAGAAGGACCAGCTAGGAATGTCAAGGTCACAAGTCCTCAGAAAGAGAAAGAGTCGGCCCCAGAGGTGGGAGTGAAGGAGGAAAAGACTGTGCCAGAGAGGACCAACTTCTGTGACAGGAGAGTGGTTATAGACCCTCAGGAGAAACCCAGCGAGGAGCTACTTGGTGACCGAAGGACAGTCGTTGACAAACATTCGCCCCGCCTGGAGTTTTTGGATGACTCTGACTCTCACTTAGAAATCCAAAAGGTGAGTAAAGCATCTGGACTTTTAGTTCTCTTGATTAAGAATATTTAGTTTTTCTTTCTAGATTAATCCTAAGGGTTATTAATTAAAAGTGGTATTTCGGCCAGGCACGGTGGCTCACGCCTGTAATCCTAGCACTCTGGGAGGCCGAGGCGGGCGGATTGCTCGAGGTCAGGAGTTCGAAACCAGCCTGAGCAAGAGGGAGACCCCGTCTCTACCATAAATAGAAAGAAATTAATTGGCCAACTAATATATATATAGAAAAAATTAGCCGGGAATGGTGGCACATGCCTGTAGTCCCAGCTACTCGGGAGGCTGAGGCAGCAGGATTGCTTGAGCCCAAGAGTCGAAGGTTGCTTGAGCCCAAGAGTCGAAGGTTGCTGTGAGCTAGGCTGACGCCACGACACTCACTCTAGCCTGGGCAACAAAGTGAGACTCTGTCTCAAAAAAAAAAAAAAAAGTGGTATTTCACTTAACCAGGACTCAAGGAAACAAATTGATGGTTCTTTTCTAATATACTTTTCAGAGTTATTAGTAAACCTAAATTCATTGCTTTTTTTTTTTTTTAAGGATTTATATGATAGGATGTGGGTCTGGCTGCTGTATAAAAGGTCAAAATATAAATACAGTGGCTTTTTAAATAGAATTTTGGCTTCAGAAGGATGGCTCCATAGTATTAGGATTCTAGTGCCTTTTGTCTTGGTGCCCTGCTGCCTCTCAGCACAGTGTCCGTCTTTTGGTGTGAGATGGCTACTCTGATAGGACTCAGTTCATTACATTGACATTCTAGCCAGTAAGAAGGGAGAAGAGAAAAGTATGCTCCCTCCCTCTTAAGAGCTTGGCTCAGAAGTTGTGCACATTGTATCTGCTCATGCCTTTTGGCAGGAGTCTGGACACCTGGCTAACACCTAGCTGCAAGGGAGTCTGGAAAATTAATCTTCATCTGGGCAGAATTACACCTAAATAAACTTCTGTTGCTAGAGAAGAAGAGAAGGATGATATTGGAGGGAAACTAGTAGTAAACTAGTGATTTTTAACATAGCTTATAATTGGAGGAAAGTGTTTCTCCATGGTGCCTGTCTCTGCTCGCCCTTTACTATGCTCCTCTGGTCTTCAGGCAGCCCTCCTCATCTTTTAGCCTTTTTTTTTTAAAGATACAGGGTCTCGCTCTGTTGCCTGGGCTGGAGTGCAGTGACATGAGTCATAGCTCACTGTAACCTCAAACTGCTGGGCTCAGGGAATCCTCCCTCCTTAACCTCTGGAGGAACTGGGTATACAGGCGTGTACGCCTGGCTAAATTTTAAATTTTTTGTAGAGATGGGGCCTTGCTATGTTGCCCAGGCTGGTCTCGAATTCCTGGCCTCAAAGTGCTGGGATTACAGGTGTGAACTGCTACACCGAGCCTTAATTCTTCTAGTGTTTACCTCTGTATTTCTAAGTATTCTTTACTGTTTACTGATTTTTCAGTTTAGACATTCTTGGGAAGATGAGAATTTGGTTCCGTGCGATTTCTTCAGCAGCAGCCGCACCCGTGCACACACCGACTTCCCCTTTCAGCCTCCCTGTGTCATTTTAATGCCGTTTGGGGACGAATCTTTTTTTTTTTTTTTGAGACAGAGTCTCACTTTGTTGCCCAGGCTAGAGTGAGTGCCGTGGCATCAGCCTGGCTCACAGCAACCTCAATCTCCGGGGCTCAGCGATCCTCCTGCCTCAGCCTCCCGAGTAGCTGGGACTACAGGCATGCGCCACCATGCCCGGCTAATTTTTTGTATATATATTTTTAGTTGGTCAATTAATTTATTTCTATTTTTGGTAGAGACAGGGTCTCGCTCAGGCTGGTTTTGAACTCCTGACCTCGAGCAATCCGCCCGCCTCGGCCTCCCAAAGTGCTAGGATTACAGGCGTGAGCCACCGCTCCCGGCCTGGGGCCGAATCTTTTAAATGTTTATTACTGCCATGTTCACAGCTGAGTTCATCTAACATACTCTGATTTTATTTCCTATCTCATAAAACTTTATTGTTTTGAAGTTTGTCATTACTTTGTTTTTTTCTTTGGTTTTCTCTGTGCCTATCACTAATTTATCCCCAAACTGCTTAGAGCCATAAAATTCTTCTCATACTGTCAAAATAAGTAATCTGTTCCCTTTTTTTTCTTGGAGGTGTGCCTCCTAAAGCCCTCTGTTGTCCTGCTCTGGTCGGGACTGCTTGTTTTTTTTTGTTTTTTTTTTTAAGATTTTATTTTATTATTTTTATTTTATTTTTTAATTTTAGGTTTTTTTTTGTTTTGTTTTGTTTTTGAGACAGAATCTCACTCTGTTTCCTGGGCTGGAGTGCCATGGCATCAGCCTAGCTCACAGCAACCTCAAATTCCTGGGCTCAAGCGATCTTCCTGCCTCAGCTTCCCGAGTAGCTGGGACTATAGGCATGTGCCACCATGCCCGGCTAATTTTTCTATTTTCAGTAGAGATGGGGTCTCTTTTGCTCAGGCTGGTCTTGGACTCCTGACCTCAAGCAATCCTCCCCACTCGGCCTCCCAGAGTACTAGAATTACAGGCGTGAGCCACCACACCCAGCCTATTTTCCCTTTTTAAAAAAATGGGTTTAGGGAACCTCTGTAAGCATTCAAAATTAGCTTGGTGTAGAGGTCTGTTTGGAGTTGTCGTCTTCAAACAAGTGTATACCTTTTTCTTTGTTTGTTTGTTTGTTTTGAGACAGAGTCTTGCTTTGTTGCCCAGGCTAGAGTGAGTGCCGTGGCGTCAGCCTAGCTCAAAGCAACCTCAGACTCCTGGGCTCAAGCAATCCTACTGCCTCAGCCTTCCAAATAGCTGGGACTACAGGCATGGGCCACCATGCCCAGCTAATTTTTTCTGTATATATTAGTTGGTCAATTAATTTCTTTCTATTTATAGTAGAGACTGGGTCTCCCTCTTGCTCAGGCTGGTTTTGAACTCCTGACCTCGAGCAATCTGCCTGCCTTAGCCTCCCAGAGTGCTAGGATGACAGGCGTCACCCACTGCGACTGGCCTAGCGTATACCTTTTAATATAAGAGCCTTTGTAAGGATTTGAATATAAAGTGATGCCTTTTCTAAGAGATCACTTTTGGGGAGATAAACCTCACCTTATATTTGGATTTTTGGCCATTCTAATCAGATTTTTTTTTTTTTTTTTGAGACAGGGTCTTGCTCTGTCACCTGGACTAGAGTGCAGTGACATCATCATAGCTCACTGCAACCTCAAACTCCTGGGCTCAAGTGATCCTCCCACCTCAGCCTCCCGAGTAGCTGGAACTACAGGCACACACCACCATGCCTGGCTAAATTTTTAAATGTTTTGTAGAGACGGCATCTTACTATGTTGCCCAGGCTGGTCTTGAACTCTTGTCCTCAGGCAATCCTCCCAAAGTGCTAGAATTACAGGCATGAGCCACCATGCTGGCTCTTTACAGATAATTTTTAAAAAACTTTTTATGGAAAATTTCAAATATATTCAAAGTAAACAGAATGGTATACTGAGTCCCCACATACCCATCACCCAGCTTCAGGAATTCAGATTAAATTTTTTTTTTTTTTTTTTTTTGTTGCCAGGCTAGACGTGAGTGCCGTGGCGTCAGCCTAGCTCACAGGAATCTCAATCTCCTGGGCTTAGCATCCTACTGCCTCAGCCTCCCGAGTAGCTGGACTACAGGCTCCAGCCAATGCCGGCTAATTTTTGTATATATATTTTAGTTGGTCTTTTTGGTAGAGACGGGGTCTCACTCAGGCTGGTTTCGAACTCCTGACCTTGAGCAATCCGCCCGCCTCGGCCTCCCAAAGTGCTAGCATTACAGGCGTGACAGATTAAATTTTAAATGCGCTGTAAATTTAAGTTATTTTGCATTTTAGAAAAGATTCTTATTTGGATATTTCTGCCATTCAAGAAAGCAGTAGCAGCAAGATTATCTAAGGGAGGAAAATATAAAGCAGGAAATTTATAATTCATTTAAATTTTTGTTACTAATATTTGTTTCCTTTTGGAGTATAGATATAGGTATATAGAATTAGTATAGACAACAGTAAAAAAAATTTGTTCCAGTTTAATCAATTCATAATGCTTTTCTTCACAGTGAATTTTTTGTTTCATTATCATGAATTATATTTATTTATATTAAGAAAAGAACTTTATAAGGCCTCTGGCTTACAAGGAAAAATGATGGCACTTAATGTTTTTTTAGCACGAGTTGATATCTTTGTGCTTCCCATATTTCTCAAACCTGGTCTGCATCAAAATTACAGGGAGAATTAAATACCGATTCTTTGATCCCACTCTGGACCTACTGAATCACAATATCTTAGGGTAGAGTAGGTATTAAAATTTTGTTTTTAAAACACCCCAGTTGGTGATGTTGTGAAGCTAAGTTCAGGAACCATTATAACATTTATTTCTACAAATTAATTCTGCAACTGTTGTGAGCACTTACTATATGCCAGGTACTGGTCTAGGTGTTAGGGAGGCATCAGTGGGAAAAAAAATTCCTGACCTTGTAGAATTTACATTCTAGTAGGGCTAAATTGATTAATGCAGCATATCGTTGTTCTGGTTACTATTGCTAGCCATTGGCTTAAAATAACTTTTATTTTGCTCAGTTTTGCGGGTCAGGAATTCAGAAAGGTCTAGACTTCGCAGGTCTTGCTTGGGGGAGTCTCTCATGTAGTTCCTTTTGGATATTGGCAAGGCCGGCTGCGATTACAGGGAAGCTTGCTGGGCTGACAGTTACTGCTGGTCTCAGCTGGGATGTCAGCTGGGCTGGGAACTGGCATATCTATGGGTGGTCTGACTTCTCATGTGGTACTTGGCTTCTCCTGGAGTGAGCAAGCTGAGAGAACCAGTTGGAAGCTGGTGGTTCTGGCAGAGCCTTGGAAGCTACACAGCTTTACTTCTGGTGCATTCTCTTGGTTACCCTTGAGTCTCTGGCCCATATTCAAGGGGAGGGGTCATAGACCCCCACCTCTCATTGGGGAGTAGTGGAAACCACAAAAATAATTTGGGCACATATTTTAAAACTACCACAACTGTTGTTGTTTTGCATTTTGACTATATTGGATATGTTGTTAGAGATGAGAAGCTGGGCTCTGCTAGCCTCCAAACTCCCTAGTACAGAATGTGTTCTAGAGAGCAATTCTTCTCAAGAGGGGTCATTAAGAAAGAGAGTCCAGGTATAGCATCCCCTTTAGGAGTGGCATTATGAGACCACAGTCACAGGTTTATTCCTTGAACCTGATAGGACTATTCACAGCTGTAACTTGGGTGAGTTCTGGAAATTGTAAGGAAACCAGGTGACAAGGTGAGCTGATGGGCCAATGCAAAGTCTTCTCTGTGGCCAGAAAAACCAGAGTTTGTGTTCTGCTGCTGCTGAGTACGTGAGGTTGTCTTCACGTGGGAAGGCTAACCCACTGCCATTTCTGTTCCACAGCACGAAGACAGGGAGGTGGCGGGCGAGCGGCTCTCTTCAGGAAGCGACTGGTCTGATGTGGACGAGGTCTCCACAGTCAGATTCTCTCAGGAGGAGCCTGTCGCACTGAAACCCTCAGCAGCCCCAGAGCTGCCGCCTTTCCCCACAGACTACGTCATGTACCCACCTCATCTGTACAGCAGTCCTTGGTGTGACTACGCCAGCTGCTGGACCAGCAGCCCCAAGCCTTCGGCCTACCCCACCATAGGCGGTGGCGGCACAGCCCCGGCTGGCAGGAGTAGCCGGGGTCTCCTGAGTGATTATTCCCCCAACTCTGCAGTGAGCTCCCAAAACACCTCCAGAGACTTGGAGGCCACAGAGGAAGGCAGATCCCAGAACTCTAGGTCATTTTGTTTCTCCAGAAGCTCAGAGGAAGAGGTGAAGGAGAAAAGAACATTCCAAGAGGAGACGCCACCACGTCCTTGTGGAGGACACACATCTAGCTCCCTTCCTAGGAGCCACCGGGAGCCAAGCCTGGAGGAGGGCTTCATTGATACCCATTGTCACTTGGACATGCTGTATTCCAAGTTGTCTTTCAAAGGGACTTTTACCAAGTTCAGAAAAATTTATAGCAGCTCCTTCCCTAAGGAATTTCAGGGCTGCATCTCTGACTTCTGTGATCCTCGGACACTGACAGATTGCCTGTGGGAAGAGCTGTTGAAAGAAGATCTGGTTTGGGGGGCCTTTGGCTGTCACCCTCATTTTGCACGTTACTACAATGAAAGTCAAGAAAGAAATCTTCTGCAAGCCTTAAGGCACCCCAAGGCTGTGGCATTTGGGGAAATGGGCTTGGATTACTCTTACAAGTGTACCACGCCTGTCCCAGAACAGCACAAGGTAATGAGGCTCTCTTTAGACTGCTTAGAGTTTCAATTCTTCTTTTAGTTATTGAAACCTAACAGTAAGCGTTTTTCCGCTTTTGATCTGAAGAAATTAGAATCCCAGGAGAGGTGCTGTGGCTCATGCCTGTAATCCCAGCACTTTGGTGAGGCCAAGGTGGGAAGGATGATCTCTTGAGGCCAGGAGTTCGAGGCTGTAGTGAGCTGTAATTGTGCCATTGCACTTCAGCCTGGGTAACAGGGTGAGACCCTGTCTTTTAAAAAAAAATAAAAAAAGAATTTAGAATCTCTAAAATTTAGTTGCTCCCATCCAGACAATCTAGGTGTTATTTTTCAAATGCTTCACAAGCTATTTTTAATTTTTCAGTTTTATTATGTAAGAGAGGGGAGAGTTACTTTGGCTTCTTATGGTTAAAGATAGCAGTGTCAAAATATTTGTTTTCTTTCCTTCCTGAGAAGCAACAAACTTTGGGTTTTGGTTTCATTTTTTAAAGTTAAATATGTTCATTGCAAAACATTTAGAAAATATAAAAATGTATAAAAGGCCAGGCGTGGTGGCTCACGCCTGTAATCCTAGCACTCTGGGAGGCTGATGCGGGCGGATTGCTCAAGGTGAGGAGTTCAAGACCAGCCTGAGCAAGAGTGAGACTCCGTCCCTAGTAAAAATAGAAATTAATTGGCCAACTAAAAATATATAGAAAAAATTTAGCTGGGCATGGTGGTGCATGCCTGTAGTCCTAGCTACTCGCTCGGGAGGCTGAGGCAGGAGGATTGCTTGAGCCCAGGAGCTTGAGGTTGCTGTGAGCTGGGCTGATGCCTCGGCACTCTAGCCTGGGCAACAGAGTGAGACTCGGTCTCAAAAAAAAAATAGTATAAAAAGGGCAATTTCCCATTCAACCATAGATGAAACTATTACAATCTTAACATATTTCCTCATGGTATTTTTTGAGCATTGTGTTTTGGCAAGGGGAAAGTTGTAGCATTTCAGCGGAAGTTTCTGAAGGAACAGGACAAGGAGAAAGACCCTCCCACTCCACCTCTTCCCTGGTTCCCAGGTTGAATTTGTTGTTGGAGAGTGTGCTTCCTTCCTGGAGGGTCACGGAGGCCTGAGAGGTCTAAGCCAGAGGGCCCCACCCTGTGCAAACTTGGCACAGCAGCTTTCCTTCTGGAGCTGTCTCAAATCTGGCTCGAGGCGGCAGTTTATTGGCCAGAGGTGAATGGTAAAATGGCTAAATCTGAACACAGGAAAAGTGATCTTTAGGAAAGTGGGACAGATATTTAATATTCTTCTTTCCCATCTGGTTTCTGTCAGGCAGGTCAAATGTGGTAGGGAAAGAGGAAGAGTTCGGAAACATGTACTCAGGGGTGCTTGTTTAGTTGTGTAGCAGATGTTCACTGAATGCCTACTTGGCGTCAGGAAAGGTGCTGCGTAGTTCACAGTGACTTTTCCTTTATTAGATTGTCAGTTTCAGATCTGTATGTGAAGGTCCGTGGGGCATGCTGTACAACAAACTGAACTTGAAGTGGTAGCAATGGGGTGATAAATGCAGCATCATTTGGCTTGGTAAAATTTGGCTCAAAATGGAAAATAGAGGAAATAAATTGCTGGGTGGGCTGGGGGGCAAAGCTGCATTTAAAGGAGAGGAAAAGACTAGAAATATTTCTGTAAACATTAGAGACTCCTAGGCTGGATTGGAGCAAGTGAATGCTATGTTCTTGATGTATTAATAAATGTAGAATTCAGCACCCAGATGAGATGAATGGTGGTAACTACAGCTGTACTAGTTGGATGTCTGTGCTGAGTTGCATTTGCCCAAGTGCAGACTGCGGAATGTTTTATCTTGAAGAAAAGAAGAAAGGCCTGTGGGAGGGCTGTCTGGCTAAGTCGTCTGGGTGCCAGAGCTGGCTCCTTCTAGGAGAGCCTGTAATAAGCCAAGCCTATAGGAGAGCCTTGGTTTTTGTGCCTAATATTTTCTGGAAAGATTGGAAAATAGAGAAAAGCAAAAGAATAGGGAAAAAATCTGTAATTACTCTGCTACTCAGAGCAAACCCCTGTTAACTTTTTCCTTGTTTATCTCTGTGTTTACAGATATAACTGTTTAATTCTTGAGAGTTAGAGCCTGAACAGTTCTTGTGTAAGTTGCACACACAGCCGATACGATTATCAGAATCCCTTGGCATCTGGGATGGATGCCAGGGAGTATTCTTCCCCACCCAGGCTGCATCTGTCTCTACTTGTGTTTGACTGAAATTAATTATTGGCCGGGCCGTGATGGCTCACACCTGTAATCCTAGCACTCTGGGAGGCCAAGGCGGGAGACCAGCCTGAGCAAGACCCACGTTTCTACTATAAATAGAAAGAAATTAGCCAAACAAGTAAAAATAGAAAAAATTAGCCGGGCATGGTGGCACGTGCCTGTAGTCCCAGCTACTCTGGAGGCTGAGGCAGGAGGATTGCTTAAGCCCAGGAGTTTGAGGTTGCTGTGAGCTAGGCTGATGCACGGCACTTGAGCCCGGGCAACACACTGAGACTCTGTCTCCAAAAAAAAAAAAAATTAATTATTGAGGTAATAAATACACAAGGGACACCTGGGGCCACCCCCAGGAAAGACTGACTCTGGAATCTCTGGAAGTAATGGATCAGCTAGGAGGGGGAAGAGAGCAATTATGTTGGGGAAATAACTTACCCGCATTCACTCGCTGTTCTTTTCACCTGGGTTCCTGGAAGGACAAATGCTGTAGATACCATGTTTCCCCGAAAATAAGACAGGGTCTTATATTTATTTTTCCTCAAGGCCCCTAGGGCTTGTTTTCAGGAGATGTGTTATTTTTTTTAAGTACAGTACAACAATCTACATTTATTCAAACATAGTTAAGTCTTCTGGAACATCATCATAGTTAAATGGCAGCCACAGCTTTCCTTCTTTCCCCCTGGGGACACACAATACCTAAAGCGGAGCGTCCTGCTCCTCACTTCACTTGAGGAGACTTTCCCCTCAAAGCCGCAGCTTGCAGCACGCACAAGATGGCCAGGGCCTGACAGGGGAAGCCCACCTTGTTGGTGGGGCTGCCCGCACCTTTCCGGTCACCTCTGGGATAGTAGCTGTCATGATGGGGCAGATGAGAAGGGCTGCTTGTCTTCTTTACCCCTCTGTGAAATGCGTGGGTTGTGCAGACGCACTGCGTAGCCATGCCCATCACTAGGTTGTATTTTCAGGGTAGGGCTTATATCGTCCAAATGCTTAGAAAACCTGCTAGGGCTTATTTTATGGGTAGGTCTTATTTTCAGGAAAACATGGTAGCTCCAGTCCAGCCACAAGTTCCTGCATTCTCATGAGTTCTTCCATCTTAACATTTTTGAAATTTGGATGTGTTTTACAAAACATTAAAAATTTAATGTTATTGTTCCTTGGAAGATTGCAAGACCCAATTAATGAGTGGCTTGTCTTATAAGGACCTGTCATAGAATCAAAGAAATGTGTTGTATTATGTGCTTTAAAAAAGATAATTAGGAAATGTTTTTAAAAGTTTGGAATATTTTTTTCCCATTTGGGAAAAGATTGTGGAAAATTATGGAATTTTCCTGTTACATTAAAATTTTAAAAATATTTTTTAACAGCTGTGTAATATTCCACCCTAAGGCTATCATAGTTTGCTTAACTACTCTAAGGAGTACATTTTTAGAGGCAGGAATCAAAAGTTGGAATTGGGATCTCTTGAAACCCCCTGCCTCTATAGGGGTCAGAGGACAGAGGAGCACTTAGCAGATTCATCTGGGAGGGGCCAGGCCACCTATAGACATTGGAACTAGCCAGTCTTTAAAGCCCTTGCCCAGCACTCTGTAATTTTGGTGTCCCTGGTCATTTTCCTTTAGTTGAAAACACAGGTTAAACAAAAATTACATCAGAATTGGTCCTGGCGTAGTGCTGTTATTCTGAGAAGAGGCAGTACAAGTGTTAGGTTTGTAAGTGTCGGTCTAAGGGAATATCACCTGACTCAAATTACCAGAAGCCTCTTATTATTTGATGCTAAAAATGCAAACATGAATTACATTCCATAATTGAAAAAACTACTCATGGCAACATTAAGATGAGGTAAATTGCTTATAGAGACTTAATACTTTTGTTCTTTGTTCTAAACCTGGCCTGCTAAAGGAAAGAAGGGATTCTAGCTCTACTTTTTTTATTTAAATTATTAATAATATGTATATTAATGAAAATTTAAAAGTGGCTAGAGTTAAAAAGAATGAAGTGTATCTATAAGTATTCACTGATTATCTGATTTTGATTTAGTAAAGAAACCAAGTTGTAAACAATAAATATAGTATGTATTCTTTCAACAAATATTTGAAAGATACCTTCTGAGAGCCAGTCATTATGCTAGAGCTACACATACACACAGCTCTGTGTAGGGAAAGGTCTGGAAGCTGATACCTCTTGAGACTGGAGGTGGGGACAGTGAGGTGAAGGACATTAACTCCGTACCTGATGTTCTAGAGCCCTGCTCTGCCCTCTCAAATAAGCATTGCGTAGTGGTTGCTGCCTGGGTTCAAATTGAACCCAGGCGCTACAGCATACTAGCTGTAAGTCCCTTGGCCTCACTGCTTGAGGCACTGACAGTAGTACCCACCTCAGGGCAGTTGTAAGGGTTACTGTTTATAATACACCTGAAGTGCCTTGGGTACCACCCCGCTTTATAGTAGGCACCCAATGAGCATCAGCCATTATTATTACATTATATAGCTTAAAAAGAATTAGAGACAGTGGGATGCCCATTGGACTGGGTGTTCCAGAGGTAATGGCCTTCTGAAGTGCCACTAATCAGCAGGTGTTGTCTCCTTGTCTTCTAGGTATTCGAGAGACAACTACAGCTGGCTGTGTCTCTAAAGAAGCCCTTGGTGATCCACTGCCGAGAAGCTGATGAAGATCTGCTAGACATCATGAAAAAATTTGTGCCCTCTGACTACAAGATCCATAGGTTAGAAGGCTGGAACCTCAGTGGGCAAATGAAAGAAACTTCCCTCTGTCTGGGGCGTTAGTTGGAAGAATGAAAACTCAGGAGGGAAATGATAATCTGTCTTTATCCTGTCTTCTCTAAAGAATTAAGTATTTTTAGGTTGAACTATATGAAATTTTTGATATTTGACCATTGCTTACAAAATGGCAATTCCATATGGTTCGGGCTGAAGCCCTGAATCACCAGTGAGCAAGAAGGGCCTCTCGTGCCCCCTTCCTGGGTGGCGGGTTGACACGGAGTCTTGGTTCTCAGAAATGAGGACTGTAGTTCCTGTGAGTGCCCATGGGGTCTGGTGGTTTAGCACACAGAGAACATTCGAGGGTACTTGAAAAGACATTTTCTTTTGTTTTTTGAATTTGAAAGCTCTTTTGTCCCAGTTGTTATTTTCACTGAAGTCTAGGATGTGTTTTATCTGAGTGGCATCTAGGGGCAGAGTTCAGTCTGATAAAGTCCTACCACATGTACGTCCTAGGCACTGGCTTTTCTCCGGAGACACCTGGAGGAGCTGCCGGGAGACAAGACAGGTTGCCGGGTGGCTTCTGTGCATATGGAGTGTGGGACAGAGGGGGGCCCGAGTTCTTAGGGAGCCCGAGCAAGGGCCACTCAGCTCAGCCCAGTGAAGGGGTCAGGAGGCAGTGCCTGAGCTGGCTCCGTAGAGAGGGGTGAGAGAGGGTCAGCTGAGAAATAAAGGAGTTCAGATCCCAAGTGGGTCTTGTCAGATGGGGCGGGGGTGGGAGAGATGGGGGATGGGCTGTCAGGCCTTTTGGGCAAAGCCTCCAACCCCTGGCTGTGGAGTGTGCGCACCGACGGGGCAGTCTGTTGGCACTTCTGGGCTGGCTGGCTTCTCACTGCTTCATTGTGGGCTGCCTTTAGAGGGAATCTAACGTGGCAGGTAGACCAGGGATGAGCTGACATGGTGGGCTGGAGGAAGCCCTGAATTTCCAGATTGGTTAACAATATGTATTGCACCAAGAACACAAACAGGTATCCAATAAGAGAAGAAAATTAACCAATAATCCCACTCCTTGGTATTTTCATTTTTTATTTCCTTCCACTTCACTTGATTACATCAGCATAAGTTTTACACACTGTAGTTGTGCTCTCAGAGGGGCTACAGGTTTTCATTCTGCTTCTCTTTTCGTGTTATAAGCATACCTCACCCCAGTACTGTTGCTGTGTACTCTTTGTGGTGGCCGTTCCTCAAGACCACAGCGTTCTACAGTGTGAGCGGGGCTGCTGAGTGTCGCTCACCCAGCGTCACTGTGGCTCTTAGTGTGTTGGAGCCACCTCTTGACTTTGTTCACTGTGGAGCTGTCCCTTTGGGGTAGTCTCTCTATATCTGGGTATTATTTGAAAGGGGTACTAGATCTAGAGGGGCTTGGAGCTGCTGCAGAAGGGCTGTGAGCGAGCCCTGACCTGGAGTTCTCTCCCCTAGGCACTGCTTCACTGGCAGCTACCCAGTCATCGAGCCCCTGTTGAAGTACTTTCCCAATATGTCTGTGGGCTTCACGGCAGTGCTGACATACTCCTCTGCCTGGGAGGCCCGGGACGCTCTGAAACAGATCCCACTGGACAGAATCATTGTGGAAACTGATGCTCCCTACTTCCTTCCTCGCCAGGTAGGGGTGTCTTCAGGCTGAGTTGAGGCCTGGAGGGGAGCAGGTGGGGAGGTGGGTGGTCACCCTTACAAGGCTGGCAGGGCCAGAGCCCCAGTGACTTCCAGGTCCCACCCTGGACTATGTAGACATCTCTTCATTGTTGCTCTGCAGAACCAAAAGTCTAGGGGGCTGAGAAGCTGAAGGGTAACCACTCTCTTCCAGGCAGTGCAAAGCCCTACCCTGTAGAGGGTAGTCCAAGGAAGCGTGGGACCCTGCTCACCCAGAGCCCCCATGACTAGGACTCTCCCTGCACCTGCAGGTAAAGGGGTCTCTACAGGGCAGCCCCAAAGAGGTCCTTGCTGGGGAAGGGACAGGGAGGGAGTTCTATATCACAGCTGTGCACAGAAGACACAGTGATGTTATAAATGCTTGATGTCTTCCAGGTCCCCAAAAGCCTTTGCCAGTATGCCCACCCGGGCCTGGCCTTGCATACGGTTCGCGAGATCGCCAGGGTCAAAGATCAGCCGCTCTCCCGCACCTTGGCCACCTTGCGTGAGAACACCAGTCGCCTCTACAATCTTTAAGCAGAACAGGCACAATCAGGAGTCTCTTGGAAAAGGTCATAAAATTCACATTATATGTTTTTCAGAAATTGGGACAAATTTTTTATTGCATTTTCTTACTATAAAGCATGTAAATCTAGGGTGAGCATGAAGCTTGCTTTGTGTCACGTGAACCTGGTTTGGAACCTTCTTCCTTTTCTCTTCAAACTCTCCAGGGTGACTGGCGGCCTGACATGACATAGGCTGGGTTTGAACTCTGCCTGTGCCCCAGGTCAAGGATGTGTTTGGAGAGCCCGTCAGAACAGAGAAAACCAGGACAGGACATTTCCTCGAAACCTCGTCATAAGGCTTTGGCTTCTGGCTGGTGGGTGGGGTGGGTGGAGTGGATGTGGGACGAGGGTGTCACTGCCCCGAATAGCATCAGGGTTTTGCCACCCATCCAGAATACTCCAGGGTAGGCACTGACGAAGAAGAGTTTGCCAGTCCAAGTCCTGTTCTCTGCAGCCTGTATTTTTGAGCAGTCTGTGAATAAAGTCGCCCTCCTCCTCGGCTAAGCACATGTGGGTGTGTAACTCAGTTCCTGGTTCTCAGTTCTAAAAATGAGCTCCCAAGTGGGAAATCTCTTGGGAAATTCACTGGACACCTGTCTCAGAGGTTTATTTTCTTGAAACCAGTGAAAGTGAAGTCATCCTCCTCCTCTCCTGGGTAACTCCTCAGCTTGGCTGTCCCTGTTCCCATGTCAACTCCAGCATCAGCGCAGGTGGAAGGACTTCGGCTGCTGGGCTTGCTGGTCCCGCTGCCGTCAGTGTGGAGGTGTGCAGGGGGGCGCTCGTCCATGGACATCCTGGCTGACCGAGATCCAGGACAGCCTGGGGGCCTCAAGCAAGAGGACCTCCTGAAGGAGGTAACTTATGCCCCCAGGATGCTTTTTGGGTGTGTTAAATGGAAAAAGGCTCAGTTTGCAGCAGAAACTACCTGCTAGTCTGGTGTCAGGCGTCCCAGCCTCCCTTCTTGCCCTCTTCTCTGGAACACTTGACCAAAAATAATCCTTCTTCTGCTTCACCCCATGTGTCGGCCCCAGTGTGTCCCACCCAGGTTGAGAGATCAGTCAGTTTCAATCTTTGGCTCTCTGCTTGGGCAGCTCAGCCAGTCATACTGCCTATGCAGAAAAAGTAGGTCTGATGTCTATCAATGCATCAGTCCCTCTCCCGGCTGTCTCCCTTGCCTTTGCCTCTTCTGTGTCCTTTCTCTGTGTTTTAGAAGTGAGAGACTCTCCTTCGACTTTTGAGCAACTGTGTCATCCCGTGTTCTAAGCTTTGCTCCGCTCCTCTCCCTGCAGGGGCCTTGTAAAGGTACACTCATTACAGGCCTTAGAGATTATATGGGTGAGGAGACTCTACACTTTGTTTATAAAGGATCCTTCACCCTCATTTCCTGCAGTGAGACAGGCCACCTAGAGTCCCTTGTCTGTTTCTTGGAGGCTTAAATTGTAAAATCCATCACTGTGGTGGATTCCTCTAGGTGTTTGTGGAAGCACATTGGAGCCTTGTGAGCTAAAATAGAACGGATTTGATGTTTCACATCTGCTATTCCCATCTTGTCCTGGCATACAAGTAACTGGCCTGGGAAGTAGGCCTGGGTTCACTGTCCATCTCCCATGGATCAGCTGTGCTGTTAAGGGTGCCTGTGCCTCAGATTTGCCCATGTGGGAGTCAGGAGGACCTTGGTCTCCTACTTGTAAGATTTGGGGGCAGCTAAGTATATCAAAGTGCTTTATTGTCACCCAGGTGAACTGCACCATAGCCATCTCTTCTACAGCAAGCCTTTTAAGTCAATACTGCCTCCACAGGAAACTACCTTGCCCCGCATTAGCGGATGAAAAGACTAGATGGAAGTCTGTAAGCTCATGCAGTTCACCTGCCAAGGAAAAGCACAAGGTGCTATCTACTTTTCTCTCTAGGATTTAGGATTATCATTTATGTGCTGTTACACAGTGAAACCTTAGTTTGTGGGTGTGAAAGCAGATTTGCATTGTTTTTGATTCAGTTTTTTTGATGGCTGACTTGATTGTTTTTGCTGTGCTCCTGGAATGCCTCTGTATTATTTCCCCCCATTTGGCCATCTTTTTCTGTAAATAAAGTGGTGGATTCTCTAGCCAACTCCTAGGCTCTCCATGTTTGTGTAGATTTCTCTGAGTGATACAATGGTTCATTGTGGTTGTTGGCCAGCTTTGTAACCTGAGAATCCAAATATCTGGAGACTTTCTCAAGTATACGTATGTCTCTCTCCATAAAAACTGTATGTAAGACTATGCGATACCTTCTTGAAAGTTCTGCCATGGAACTCTCATATTAATGCCTGGGAACTCAGATGCACTGCTTCTTCCTAACCTTTGAAGAGTACATAGATACCTTCTTTTCTTTTCTTTTTTCTAGACAAGGCAGTAGGAGGAAGAAAAAATCTAGTCCCCAGGGGTGTTGATGAATCAGTTGTACTGTGGGCTTTGGACTGAACTCCTGATGCCTCTGGGTAAACTTTGAAGGAAATTCTGTTTTGCTACTTGCAGGCCTGTTATTTTGTACTAAAGTATTCCTGAACACAAGTGCACAAGCCAAAAAGTAAACCTACATACATGTAAAAAGGAAGGTTCTCATCTAAGAATGCTGAACAAATTCATAATCTGTTGCCACCTCACTTTTTTTTTTTTTTTTTTTGAGACAGAGTCTCACTCTGTTGCCTGGGCTACAGTGCCGTGGCATCAGCCTAGCTCACAGCAACCTCAAACTTCTGGGCTCAAGTGATCCTCCTGCCTCTCAGCCTCCCGAGTAGCTGGGACTACAGGCATGTGCCTCCATGCCCGGCTAATTTTTTCTATGTGTGTTTTTAGTTGACCAATTAATTTCTTTCTATTTTTAGTAGAGACGGGGTCTTGCTCTTGCTCATGCTGGTTTTGAACTCTTGACCTTGAGCGATCTGCCTGCCTCGGTCTCCCCGAGTGCTAGGATTACAGGTGTGAGCCACCTCGCCCAGCCGCTGCCTCACTTTTTAGGTGTAGTCATAGATTATGTACTTTGAGCATATTCCATAACTGTGTCTCAGTTCCTTCCAGTTGAACAGATAATTGACTTACTTGAGGATAGTCTATTGTGGCGGAAGGTCTGCTCGTGGCGTTTCTGGCATTTCCATCTTTCTCCCTGTGTTAAGTTTGGGGCTGGTACTATTTACTATCAGCACTTTTGCATCATTCAGTTTTATAAAATAAGGGCAAACAGCCACTGGGATATACAGTGATTGAATAAGCAGACTCGAAGAAGGTGATCAGTGGCCATCCAGCCCCTCACGATCACTGTCTGCTTGTTTGTTCATGATGGTGGAAGGTGTGTTCAGAGTGAGGAAGGTAGCTCAGTGCAGGTATTTCAGCTCTTCTGTTTGCGCGCTGAGCCACCCGCCTATGAGTGTATAATAGATTAAATACATATGCTGTTTATTATACAACACAAAGTAGAAATTTTTTCATAAGGAGAACTTTTTCCCGCCAGCAGGTATCTTGCTCACCCCAGGGGTACACACGCCCCGCTTCAGAGACCCTTCATTTAGTGGTATGGCGCATGCAGGCGCAGGTTTAAGAAAGCTGACATGGGGACCTGCTTGAGATGACACATTTTCTCAAAGGTGGCCCTGAACCTTTTCCCTTGACAAGTTTTATTTTTGCTGATCATTGGCTCAAAATTGTGCTCACTACTCCACCAGGTTCACCCAGTGTGTTATGAAGGAAAATTAAAAAAATCCCCCAGGAGTCCCGTGGATCCCAGGCAGTGGGGCGGCTCTGATCAGGAGGCAGTGGAATGAGTTGGGAAAAGTGCATGCCCAGTGCTGTAGCTCTGCGCGTGTGTCTGCCGTGTACTTGCTGTGTGACCTTGGGGAAGTTACTTAATTTCTTTGAACTTTGGTTTTCTTTCTTGTCTGTAGGCTTGCTGTGGAAGTAAACTGAAATTACATTAGTCAGTACAAGTGTTTAGAACAGTGCCTGGCACACAGCAGGAGCGCAGTAATGGCAGCTGTTATAAGAACCGAGGCCCGATAAGTGCCAGGTGTTCTCCCATGAGACACTATGTTCAGTCCTGACCATTACCCAGGGAGGTAGGCATTTTACACATGAGGAGCCCGGGAAATGCAGTGTCTTGATCTGGGTCACACAGCTGGTATTCAGATTCAGTTCTGAGACCCAAGCCCATGGCTTTGCACCACACCTTGTTGCATGGCACAGGTGAGAGTGCCCAGTCCAAAGCGGGTGTCTAGGTGTTCAGTATCTGTTTCTTGCATGAATGATCTGGGCAAGTGGGAGAGAAGTAAATTCTTGTCTTTGTCTTGTCTTTGGGAAGCATCAGGTGACCAGCATCTGTCTAGGCCCTGGTACCTGTCCTGGGCCACTGGGTCCACACCTGGCCCTTGGATGTTCTTCTGTAGCTACTGAGAAGACGGCTGTGTGCATAGTCAGTGGTGATCAGGGTTGCACCTCCCTACTACTAAGTGACAGAGCTGAGATGCGGTTACGTTCCAGGACAGGTGTGTTGATCCCTGCATACACCTGTGCTGGGTACCTGGGGAGGGAGGGCGCTGGCTATCCAGAGGAGCAGAGGAAATTCATTTCTACTTCTTTCTCTCTTTTCCCTTGCTTTACCTACTCTTCAATACCTTAAATTCTTTTAGTGATGACAAAGTCTTTCCATGCGTGGTTATTGCTGAGGCTCAGACGCAGGTGCTTTTGGAAGCAAGGATGGTGAACTAAGTCACTGTATAGTCATAAAGTCAAGTGTCTATATAGCTGTCTTAGAAATGGAATTTGTATATATGTGTGTGGTGTCTGCCCAAGGGACAGGCATGGAACTGACAACAGAGCTGTACTAGAGAGACCGGGAGAAGGTGAGTGAGCAAACAGGGCACCTTTTTCATGTGTTCCCCGCTGTGTCCAGGACCCCACCTGGCCAGATCCGAATTACCTTAAGAGTTTCGTGACAGTTGACACCTGTTCCCTGCTGGCTGGCTCTGTAGTGCTGCCATGGAATAGCCAGGGGTCACAAATGCACGTCCTGACAGAGCAGGGCTGGGGCCGGGGTTCTGCACTTCTGAGATGGCCCACAGACCACACACAGCTCCTGCGTGGGAGGCGGCAGTTGGGTTTTGGGGAGCAGTGGTTAGTGCTGTGCATGGTAGGTGGCTGGAGTTTTACCTGGGAGACGCTGGGCTCCTGGAGCCGTCTGTGACAGGGCTTTCCAGAGTGTGGACATCACCCTCCTCTGCAGGGGCTTTCCTCCGTGTCGGTAATATATGTGCAGCTGTGTGAACTGGCAGGTTGCTAGTGCTGACGTCTGGGGCCCCCCTGCTCTTTGGCTTTCCCTCCCCCCAGTGGCGTGTCCCACCCGTCATTACTGGCACTCAGAAACCAGCGTTAATCCTTAGTCCACATGTTCACACTATGGGGACGTGACTGGCACCCCTCCCTGGAAGACTGGTGTCTTTTTCTTTTCTTTTCTTTTTTTTTTTTTTTTTTTTTGAGACAGAGTCTCACTTTGTTGCCCAGGCTAGAGTGAGTGCCGTGGCATCAGCCTAGCTCACAGCAACCTCAAACTCCTGGGCTCAAGCAATCCTCGCTGCCTCAGCCTCGCCGAGTAGCTGACTTGGGCTACAGGCATGTGCCACCATGCCCGGTTAATTTTGTGTATATATTTTTAGTTGGCGCCAATTAATTTCTTTCTATTTATCGTAGGAGACAGGTCTCACTCTTGCTCAGGCTGGTTCGAACTCCTGACCTCAAGCAATCCACCCGCCTCGGCCTCCCAGAGTGCTAGGATTATAGGCATGAGCCACTGTGCCTGGCCAAGACTGGTGTCTTGATTAGAATTACGTTGTGAAAGTTAAGGATCAAGGCTCATCTCACCTGTGAGCTGGAGTTGGGAAGTGTTCTGGGATACTGTGTCGTGTCAGTGCAGTGTCGAGTCGATGGCCAGCCTTGCCAGGCCTTTTCAGTAGTGGACCGGGAGGAAAGGGAAGGTGGTTATTTCAATGCTGGCCTACACAGTGCTTGAGGCTATTGGCGGCAGCCTCACTTATGATCTCCAAATTTATTCGTCTTGTTGTGTTTTTTTTTTTTTTTTCTTTTTTTGAGACAGCAGTTGCTCGCTTTCTTGCCCTAGGTAGAGTGAGGTTGTGTTGGCAATATTTTTTGCCTAGCTCACAGGCAACCTCAAACTGGCTCTGGGTCTTTGTGTATCCTCCCTGCCTCAAGCCTCCGAGTAGCTGACGACAGGCACAAACCACCATTGCCCGCCCCTGCCTGATTTTTAATCATTACTGATATATAGTTGCGCCAATTAAGTTTTCTTTCTACTTTTTATGGTAGAGACGGTCTCGCTCAGGCTGGTTTGCAATCCTGACCTTGAGCAAAGCCGCCACCTCGGCCTTCCCAGACCGCTGCTAGGTTGCATCTACAGGCGTAGCCCACCGCGCCCGGCCTCCAAATTTATTCTCTGGCATTCCCTTCTTCCTCTTGTTGATCTTGAGTGGATATTGGCTCAGATAATGTCACCTGGAGTTTCTGTCCACACAGCTCTCGTTGGTTGTTAATAAACTGTCAGTGCAGCCTTGCACTCAGGAGGCTGATATTTAAAGGAACTGTGTCTTAGTTCTTCCTCTCTTCTCGCTTCCCTCTTTCCCCCTTCTCTCTTCCTCTTCCTCCTCAAGAAACCTTGTGTTGTACATCCAGTCCAATACATCCATGAAATAGTTAATCTGCTTGAATGAGTTGGTTTGCTTTGGTTTTCTAAGCATGCATACCTGACTTGCTACATGTCTCTTCCCAGTGACCACAGACCAAGAATTGTTGTTTTTTTGGGGGGGACTTTTTTTCAAGTGAAATGTGAAATTTTCCTCTTTGGTTAAATAAATTCCCATTTTGAGAATTCAGCGTATGGTTTGAACATTTATTCACCTCCTGAGCTAGTACAGTAGTCCTGGGAGTTGTCGCAGAAGCGATCTGGAAGCCAGATGAGAGCGTGCAAGCCTGGGAGGACAACAAGGGGTGAGCCGGTCTTGGAGGTGATCAGCTGTCAGTGGGGGCCTCTGAAAAGCAAGAGGCTAAGTCAGTCCTGGGTCCACCATCCTGCCAATGCCATCAAAGATGGCTTTGCTTCCATGATGGTGACTTTGGAGGTGCCAGGTTGTAATGGGGTAGGGGGAGGTGGGAGGAAGCTTTGGCCTTGGAGTCAGAGAGTGGACTGTTATGACCTTGCGCAAGGCATGCACAGCTCTTGGTTTCTTTATCTGCACAGTGGGCTGGGTGCCGCCCCCGGTTGGGGCGTGGAGGGGGTCACCATGTTGGTGAGGACAGTGCTTCACAGGTTGTAGCGTGAGCTTCCGAGAGGCAGGTGTTTCTGTCACCTCGATCGGGAACAAGCTGGGTGGTTTCATTTCATTTTGTTTTTTTTGTTTGTTTTTTTTTTTTGAGACAGAGTCTCGCTTTGTTGTCCAGGCTAGAGTGAGTGCTGTGGCGTCAGCCTAGCTCACAGCAACCTCAAACTCCTGGGCTGGAGTGATCCTACTGCCTCAGCCTCCCAGGTAGCTGGGACTACAGGCATGTGCCACCATGCCCGGCTAATTTTTTATATATATATCAGTTGGCCAATTAATTTCTTTCTATTTATAGTAGAGACGGGGTCTTGCTCTTGCTCAGGCTGGTTTTGAACTCCTGACCTTGAGCAATCCGCCCGCCTCGGCCTCCCAAGAGCTAGGATTACAGGCGTGAGCCACAGCGCCCGGCCCTCATTTCGTTTTTTTATTACAAGACAGAGGGCATTCAGAACAAAACCAAAAGTCCTTTGCTTAACTGACTGGAGCCTATTTCTGAATGCTATTGTGGCAATGATTCCTTTTGTGGAAAAAAGTTATACATTAAAGGTGTTTGAACACCAATGATTTTACACTCACAATAGTGTTAGCTCCGTTTTACAGTCATGAAAATTGCGGTTCAGCTGGGCCTCAAAGTCAGTTAATGTGCTGGGTTTTGGAACCTAGTGTCCTTTGAACACAGAGACTTTATGCCAGTACCAGCCCAGCCCTTTCCTGCAGGCATCTGGGAAAGAGGAGTTAGAAGCTCTTTGAGAGGCAGGGGTTGGAGGGGGAACTTGCCCATGTTTGAGACTCCCAAGGAAATCAAATTAACCTGACCCAGGCAAGGACTTACCTTTGGCCTCTTCCCACAGGATGTCCTGAAGAAACTTGCCCAGGACCTGGCTGTGCTGCTGGTACTGAGCCCCGGACAGCTTGATCCCAATATCAAAGGGGGCGTTGAACTAGGAGGTGGACAGGGGGGGCCCGAGAGGTGTCAGACATCACAGTCCTGTCACAAAGGAGGCCCTGGGCTCTCCCACTCCCTCCTCAAAGGGGCAGGGTCCCACCGACTGACAGTCTCAATCTCAGCCAGATTTTACTCTGCCTTCTTAGGCCCATGTCTTACCTGCCTTCTCACTATTTTTTTTTTTTTTTGAGACAGAGTCTTGCTGTGTTGCCCAGGCTGGAGCGAAGTGGCATGAACTTCTGGGTCAAAGAGTTCTCCCGCCTTGGCCTTTCAAACTGCTGAGGGTATAGGCATGAGGCCCTGTGCTGGCCCTCTCACCATCTTTAGGGTACACCTACCTTGCAGTCTCATTCCTTGTATCCCAGCCTTAGCCCTCAGGGGATTGCTGATAAAAGCTGCCGAGTCCCCTAATACAAGTTCTTTCTGCTGTGCAGTTTTGAAGACAAAAGGTTGAGTCACCAGTGGTCGCAGGCCTTGGGTGCAGGGAGGTTTCAGGAGCTGGTGGCTCTGCCTGGCTGTGATCATTTCTTCCTATTTATTTATTTATTTTATTTATTCATTTATTTTTTGAGACACAGGCTCACTTTGTTGCCCAGGCTACAGCGAGTGCCGTGGTGTCAGCCTAGCTCACAGCAACCTCAAACTCCTGGGCTCAAGCAATCCTGCTGCCTCAGCCTCCCGAGTAGCTGGGACTACAGGCATGTGCCACTATGCCCGGCTCATTTTTCCTATATATATAAGTTGACCAATTAATTTCTTTCTATTTATAGTAGAGACTGGGTCTTGCTCTTGCTCAGGCTGGTTTTGAACTCCTGACCTCGAGGAATCTGCGCACCTCGGCCTCCCAGAGTGCTAGGATTACAGGGGTGAGCCACCATACCCGGCCTCTTTTTGCTTTTTTGTTTGGTTTTCCTCTCCCCTTTCTCCTTTTCTAACCCTCTTATATACATAGACCTTTCCTCGTTCTGTGGAAGATCAAAAGGAAGCTGGCTTTTTCATAGGAAGATGCTCTGGGACAAGTCCTTTCCTTCTGTGCCTCTGTTTCTTCCCTCCCACAGGGAGCGCCTGTCTTTCCTGTTTTCTGGGCATCCTCTGAGATGATTTATTGGAGCTCAGAGTTTTGAGTAAACGGGGAGAGTTCCGTCTGCTGCCCCATCCCAGGTTTTTCTTTCCTTGAGAGCAGAGACGTCTCTGTGTTGCCAGTAGCCACGTCGGTGCCTGGCTGTGTCAGTCGCTGAGTGACTGCATGAGTCAGCAAAGGAATCGTAGTGCTGGAGGGAGCACTCGGTCACCTGGCCCTCACAGCAGAAGCCCAGCGAATCAGGAGCTAAGGACCAAACCCACCCAGCCTGGAACCCCTTCAAGTCCCCTTGCTGCAGTGGCGTGTCCTGGCGCCTCCCCACAATTCCCGTTTCACGGATGAGGAAACATCTCGAAGACGTTATTAAGACAACACAGCTGCTCGCACCCTTTTTAAAGCTTACTGTGCACTGTGGAGGTGGAGTGTAGTGGGGGGTGACAGGCTTGATTATTTTAGGGGACCTGGAGCCTTGCGATTCCTGGGAAACTGCTGGGCGGTCTGACGCCGCTGCGGTGCTGGGCAGTGGGGCAAGTGGAAGGCGGCGTGGAGGAGCTGGACGGGAGACTGTCCTTTGTGTGACTTGAAAATCCTCTTCCCTCTTGGCCTCAGTCCAGTGGGATGAGACTTGGTCTCAAAAGTCTTCTGCTCTGAAACTCGATTTTGGTGAGAACGCTTGGAGGGAAGTGGAGGGCCTGAAATAGGAGAGGGGAGGGGGAGCACTAGGAGGGGGAGGGTTTTGGTAGCTGCTTCACCCCGTCTCCGGCAGGCCCAGCACCTCCTAGGCATTTCACACGCCTGGGTCTAGTTGAGGCAGTGTGGGTCATTTCTTCCAAAGCTTTCACAGAAACTGGAAGCATCTATTACCCCAGCCCTGTCTTGCATCGTCAGCCACCAGGACCGCCCCCATCTGGGCTAGCGTGGAGCCTGTCTGGCCGGGGCGGCTGCCCACCGCTGTAGCTGGCAGTCACCAGGGCGGTGCCTGGTACACGTGTAAAGATTTGCAGGCCGAGGCGGGCGGATTGCTCGAGGTTGGGAGTTCGAAACCATCCTGAGCGAGACCCCGTCTCTACTAAAAATAGAAAGAAATTAATTGACCAACTAAAACTATATATACAAAAAACTAGCCGGGCATGGTGGCACATGCCTGTAGTCCCAGCTACTTGGGAGGCTGAGGCAGGAGGATCGTTTGAGCCCAGGAGTTTGAGGTTGCTGTGAGCTAGGCTGACGCCATGGCACTCACTCTAGCCTGGGCAACAAAAGTGAGACTCTGTCTCAAAAAAAAAAAATAAAATAAAATAAAAAGATTTGCAGGCCGTCCACGTGGTACATAGTGAATCTGGGGGAGGAAGGGTCTGAGAAGACCTTTAGGCTCCGGTGAGTGTTGGAGGGCAGGGTCTGGGGGGCCTGAGGTTGGCTTTCATCCTCTGCCAGAGGAGAGGCCAGTAAATAGGTACAGGGAGGCCAAGGTGGGGTACGCTTCAGCTGTTTCTCAGGGAGGAAGAGGCCACTCCTGGGCCACCGTGACTCTGTTCTCCAGACCAGTGAGGAGGAGGAGAGGGCTGGGGGCTAGATGTGCCCCATCTCTGCCACACACTGGCGGCAGTGCCATGGGCAAGTGAGCTCACCTGGACTTCTGTTCCTTGTCCATAAAATGGTACTAATATCATCAGCCCTCCTTACCTTGCAGGTTGTTGCAGAGATGAGATGGTACGCAACAGGGTGGAACGGTTGTAGCTGAAGTTGCTATACGCAAGCACAGCTTACAGTGATCGCCATGGTTAAGTACCACCCCGGGGGATCCTGATTAGCTGTACAAAGGTGTCACTTGTGAGACCATCCCCTAAACCACAGCCATCCTTTCAGGAAGGTCACGTGGACGGCCCTGTAAGATACCTTTACTTCCTCCTTCCGATCCTTGAGTTGCCTCCAAACTTTCTCCCTGCCCCATGCAAGATTTGTGGGAGCAAAGATCAGTCTGAGCTGCCCCCTCCTGGTAGGGTTCCACCTCTAAGCACTGACGCCCCTGAGTGAAACAACGTTTTCTGCAGAGAGACCTCTTCAGTCTCTGGCTGTTTATTCCTGGGTGTTTTTGTCGCTGCTGCCTTTGAAATCACCTGGAGTCTGCTAATGCCCTCTCTCCTCGGTCCATGGCTCCTGTACCCCATTCTGGTGAGGCAGAGTTAATGCTCCCAGTTTTCTCTTTATGGGCAAAATAAACCCAGAGCTCAGCTATTTTAGTGCTATTTTATAACCTTGAGCAGCTTGTAGGTGGGTCCCTGTTCACAGCCATCTCCCTGCCCTCCCTTCCCCCTACCCCATTCTTTTTACTGCCCCACAGCATAAAATCGCAGAGGTACCGACCCGGATCTCCAGTTCATCCTCTGCCCCTTCTGCCTGGCTTCCATCTTCTGGGCGGAGCCAGCCTTCTAGAGCTCGGGGCTGCAGTTTGGCTGGTGGCTTCTTGGATTCCTTTCTCTGCTGGGAAAGGGAGATGTTCTCTATAGGACCCTGAGGCCCTGTATCCTAGAAACAGCGTTGAGGTCAGACCCAGAGTCCCCCTTTGTGCTCTAGGAGAAGGCTGAAGCCCAGAGAGCTTGAGCCACTGTCACAGAGCTGGTTGCCAATTGGCAGGGCTGGAACAAGATACCACAGCAGTACGTACGGTTTTGTGGGGAGAGGTCTCACCTGGGTCTTCTGATGTTCCGGGCTCAGGAAGCTGGAGCCTGCTGTGGCCATGTCTGCCCAGAGCATGCTGAGGAGCAGTAGGCTGCAGATGGTCCCCAGGGAGAGCATGGCTGCGGCCAGGCTGGGGAAAGATGGGCCTGGGGGAAAGAGGTCTCCAGGCAGCATGCCTCAGTCTCTCAATTTGCCTCAGAATTCGCTGGGTAAAGCCCAGCAGACAAGGTGAGGGGTCGACCTGGGTTGAGACTGCTGAGTAGAGAAGGGCTCCCCTCTCCCCCCTTCTCCACTGTGGCAGAGAACTGAAGGACGCGCGTGCTCTGTCTTTTCCAAGGCCATTCAGGGCAGAATGGCAGTAGGACTTGGGTGGTGGGGAGGTGGGGTGTCCACCCTAGTGTCACCTGCCTAGGCTCCGAGGAGCTTGTGCCAAGTTTTCAAACATGGGATGATGGAGCTGAACCAGCAAGGCCCCTTGGGGACATGGGGTACTGGGACCAGCTCCTAAGCCAAGCTTTGTCTCTGAGCAGCCTGAGTAACCCAAGTTGCCTAGCATCCCCTTTGCTCAGATGGGCCTGCTGAGACCCAGAGAAGTTAAGTGAATGACCAGCAGTCACAAAGTAAGTCGAACCCGTGAGCAAACGCACATGCAAAGAGCAGAGAGTGCCTACCTGGGATTCCTGGCAGAGGTGGTGCCCAGTGGCTGGCTGGTCCTTATATAGGGAGCCTGGTGTTTGTTCTAAACTAGCAGCTCCGTCTCAGAGGTGGCCTAGCTTCCGTGGGGGGCTGGTGTACATTCCTTGGGAACTAGAAATGTTCGTGCCCTCTGGGCAGAAATCAGCAGAGGAGGTCAGACGCCCGGGAGATTGCTGGGTTGGCTTGGGATGCTGCATCTGTTCCTGGACCGCGTGCAGGGAGTTGCCCTGCGTGGGCACGGCCCTGGTTTAGCCGGGAGCGGGGAGAGTGGGTCTGCGTCTGCCTTTGCGGCCGTGTGATCTCAGCTCACTCCCCCGTTCTCCCTCGTTAAAATGAGGTTATGGTCACTAGGTGGTCTCCAAGATCTTTCCAGTCCTGGTGCTGGTCTGGCTTCCACAAGCCTCTGGAGCACACCGGGAGCCGGGTCCGTGTGATTCTCCCACTTCCCCAGGAGACGGGCCAGAGAATTCATGAAAGAGTTGAGAAGACTTAAGTCCTGGGAGGCTGAACACTTTACTTTATTGGAGGAAAAACTGAACTCCAGTAGGGCCACACTTTCCCCAAAGCCACACAGCCGTCAGGGCTGATGCGTGGACTTCCACCCTAGTCTCTCGACTCCGACCTAGCATGGCGTTCTTTCTGATACGGCATCTGCTTCTATGATGAACGTGGTGTTCCAGGAAAATCAGTCTGCTCCGAGCAAGCTGGAATTGGGGCAGGATGCCAGTTGGGAAGATACTGAAGCAGTAGAATGGCTGGTGGCCAAATGAGCACCCTAACTTAAGAGATCGACTTCAGGGGGATTGGATCTTTGTAGACGCGCCCAGGACAGTGGAGGCACGCTGGGCTGGACTGAATCCTTCAGTGGAACGTGGGGGGCTGAGTACCTCCGGATGAAAATCCCATCACCAGCGCAGTGTGGTGGCTGAAATGCCACGTTTAGCCCCAGCAGAATATGTGCGTCACCGGGAGGCCTTTTGCCACCTGAGTGCAGACCTCTCTTGGCCCTGGGGCCCAGAGGGGCTGAAGGTGGTGAGGGCGGAGAAAAGATGGGAACCCTTGGAGAAGAGTCACAACTTTTTCAGAGCCACCAACTGCCTCTGCCCAAAAACACACCCCAAAATAGAAAAACCCCAACTATGGTAACCAGGCAGCTACTGAGACATGAAGCCTCCTCTTCCTGCTGACCCCAGAGGCCTCTGGAGGCGGGAGCAGCCAGTGTTGATCTTAGATAACACCACCAGCAAGTAAACACCCACGGCTGGCTGTGTTATCTTTGGGGAACAGAAATGTCACCTGGGAGTTGGAAAACCCGTAACCACATACCACAGAGTCAAAGAAGGACCATCTGATGGCCATAAGAACCGTTGAGGGAGGAGGCGCCAGAAAGTACCTCGCTGCCCACTCAGTCGTGGAAGGGGCTGGGTGTGGGTTGGGAAACAAGCAGATCTGAACCAAGAAGAGTTTAGAGGAAGACTGGCTACTGGAAAGGACTGGCGTGTTCTCCTCCTCATTCCTTTCACTTCCTGATAAGGAACCAGTTTGGAATTCCCCCAGGGTGAGAAGAAGCCTGTTCTTCCTCCTTGTTGGGGCTCAGTAAGCAGGTCTCCCCACTGCTTGTTGGCCGGCTGACTTCCTTCTAGCTGCTGGTCTCTTAAGAGCCTGCCTGAGTGAATGGAATAGAATGACTCATTATTAAATTAATTGCTGTATATAAATGGTATCTGAGAACAAATTAGCTTTATACACTTTTCATTGAAATTTCATTTGTACTGATAATTTGTTGGTTTAGCAAGCACTTTTTTCATCAATTTGGCTAAATTTCAGTCTGAGGAAGATTCTGGGATTGTAAACAGGTTTTATTCTTTCTTTGAGAGAAGGCTTTTTTTAAATTTCAGGATATTATGGGGGCACAAATGTTAAGGTTACATATATTGCCCTGTCTCCCCTTACCCTTTGCGGGAGAGTTTCAAGCAAGAGAGGGCTTTTTAGTGGGGTTTCTTTTTTCTCCTAGTTTTGGCTTCCATACCTTCCAGATCAGCATTTTTTTTTGTTGTTGTTGTTGTTTTTGAGACAGTCTCACTGTGTTGCCCAGGCTAGAGTATTGTGGCATCAACCTCTAGCTCTCAGCACCCTCCAACTCCTGGGCTCAAGTGATCCTCCTGCCTCAGCCTCCCGAGTAGCTGGGACTACAGGCATGCGCCACCATCTCTAGCTAATTTTTTCTATATATTTTTAGTTGACCAATTAATTTCTTTCTATTTTTAGTAGAGACGGGGTCTCGCTCTTGCTCAGGCTGGTTTCGAACTCCTGACCTCAAGCAATCCGCCCGCGTCGGCCTCCCAGAGTGCTAGGATGACAGGCGTGATCCACCACACCCAGCCTCCAGATCAGCATTTTTGAGTAGAAATGTACCAAGCATACCTCGTAGGTGATGTGGCTTCAATTCCAGACACCATGATAGAACAAATATTGCAATAAAGTGAATCATGAGTTTTTTGGTTTTCCAGTGTAGATAAAAGTTATGTTTATATTATACTGTGGTCTACTGAGTATGCAACAGCATTTTGTTTTTTAAAAAACAGATACCTTTAATCTTTAATACTTTATTGCTAAAAAATGCTAATGATCATCTGAGCCTTCAGTGAGTCATAATCATTTTGGGGGGTGCAGGGCTTTTCCTCAATGTTGGCTGCTGACTAATCAGGGTGGCTGATGCTGAATGTTGGGGTGGCTGTAGCAATTTCTTAAAATAGACAATATTGCTAGATATACAGGTTCAAAAGAAAATTTAAAAAATGAAGTTTGCCACATTGACTTCCTTTCTTGAAAGATTTCTCTGTAGCATGCAATGCTGTTTGATTGCATTGTACCCACAGAATTTCTTTTGAAATGGGAGTCAGTCCTCTCAAATCCTACCCCTGCCAAATCAACTTGGTTTATGTAATATTCTAAATCCTTTGCTGTCATTTCAAAAATATTCATAGCACCTTCGCCAGAAGTAGGCTTCATCTCAAGAAACCACTGTCTTTGCTCCTCCATAAGCAGCAACTGCTTATCCCTTACAACGTTTATCATGAGATTGCAGCAACTCAGGCACGTGTTCAGGCTCCACTTCCAATTCTAGTCCTCTTGCTGTTCCTACCACATCTGCAATAACTTCTTCTACTGAAGTTTAGTCCTCTAAGTCATCCATGAGGGTTGGCATCAACTTCTCCCAAATTACTGCTAATGTTGATATTTTGTTCTTTTTTTTTTCTTGAGACAGGGTCTCACTTTGTTGCCCAGGCTAGAGTGAGTGCCGTGGCATCAGCCTTAACTCACAGCAACCTCGGACTCCTGGGCTCAAGCAATCCTCCTGCCTCAGCCTCCCAAGTAGCTGGGACTACTGGCATACGCCACCATGCCTGGCTAATGTTGATATTTTGAGTTCCTCTCATGATTCACCAATGTTCTTAACCACTTCGGGACCCCGCCCACCGGCCGCGAAACCTCGCCCACAGTTGTTTGTTCTGTGCATTGACAACGAATCCATTTTGCTCGTGTGATGAGGAAAGCTTTAAAGCACTGAAAGCTTGTTTTACTTTACAGGCAGCTTCACTTGTAATGTAAATCAGAATAGGTAACACATACATATATGTTTACATTATTTTTAAATGTTCATAATTTTATTTTGACAAATGGAAAATTGGAAAAGTCATTATCATGGCTGTCGGCTAAAGTCAACGCTCAGCTGTGTGCCTTCATATCACGGCTGTTGGCTAAAGTCGCTGTGCGCGTTCATCTGTGGCTGTCGACTATAGTCGACGCTGGTACTGAAGTGGTTAATGGCATATAGAATGGGTGAATCCTTTCCAGAAGGTTTTTTGTTCTGTTTTGTTTTGTTTTTGAGACAGTCTCACTTTGTTGCCCAGGCTAGAGTGAGTGCCATGGCGTCAGCCTAGCTCACAGCAACCTCAAATTCCTGGGCTCAGGCAATCCTCCTGCCTCAGCCTCCCAAGTAGCTGGGGCTACAGGCATGCACCACCATGCCCGGCTAATTTTTTGTATATATATTTTTAGTTGGTCAATTAGTTTCTATTTTTAGTAGAGACGGGGTGGGGGGGTGGGGTGGGGGGGTGTCTCGCTCAGGCTGGTTTCGAACTCCCGACCTCGAGCAATCCGCCTGCCTCGGCCTCCCAGAGTGCTAGGATTACAGGCATGAGCCACCATGCCCAGCTATCCAGAAGGTTTTTGATTTACTTTGCCCAGAAGACAAGTAGCCCTTCTCATCTGCTCCATCGTGACAGCTACTATCCCAGAGGTAACCAGAAAGGTGTGGGCAGCCCCACCAACAAGGTTGGCTCCCCATCAGGTCCCGGCCATCCTGTTCATGCTGCAAGCTGAGGCTTTGAGGGGAAAATAACACACCCCCTGAAAATAAACCCTAGGGTGTCGTCTTGAAGAAAAATATAAGACCCTGTCTTATTTTCGAGGAAACACGGTAGGTACATAAGGGTCCATACTGACCTGTGCACATGGCTTTCTGAGGGGATAGGCCTGGCCCCCCCCCAATCTGGTACATTCACACAAAGGCTGGGTGTGAGCACCACCCTTGGACTGTAGCTGAGGGGCCCCAACTGCCCCTCCCTGGTTCTACAGTGGGGAGTAGACTGGAGTTGAGATAGATCAGGACTCAAACACTGGCTTTACCAAATGCTAGGGGGCAGGACTTCTGTGCCAGTTTCCTCCTCAGTAAATCGGGGATACTGTGTTTCCCCGAAAATAAGACAGGGTCTTATATTTATTTTTCCTCAAGAAGACACCCTAGGGCTTATTTTCAGGGGATGTGTTTTTTTTTAAGTGTGGTACAACAATCTACATTTATTCAAATATAGTTAAGTCATCTTCTTCTGGAACATCATCATAACTCTCCAAACCCTGAATTTCTTGCAACTCTATTTCCTTTAGAACACTAGGTTTTATCTTTGGGTAGGGCTTCTATTGCGCAAATGCTTAGAAATCCTGCTAGGGCTTATTTTATGGGTAGGTCTAACTTTCGGGGAAACACAGTATATACCTAGACAGGCTTGTTGTGTTGCTTAAATGAGTTAATGTTTGAAATATCCAAGTGCAGTACCTGGCTCACAGCATTCTCAGTAGTGGCAGCTATTGTGACTTTTGGTTCAGGTGAGGATCGCAGGGCCTCTGCTGAGAGATTATTCCTGGTTCAGGGTCAATTAGGACCAGAACTGTGGTCTCCCACCACAGGGCCCTCCTTTTCCTAACAGAGTCAATAAACTGAATGAATAGGTCCCACTTTCTGGGCCAGCCTCTCAGCTATTACTGTTTGGTTATTACTACCTGGCTTGGCACCCTGTTGGTGACCACATGCACTAGCTCATTTAAGTTTTTTTTTTTTTTTTTTGAGACAGAGTCTCGCTTTGTTGTCCAGGCTAGAGTGAGTGCCGTGGCGTCAGCCTAGCTCACAGCAACCTCACACTCCTGGGCTCGAGCGATCCTTCTGCCTCAGCCTCCCGAGTAGCTGGGACTACAGGCATGCGCCACCATGCCCGGCTAATTTTTTATATACATATCAGTTGGCCAATTAATTTCTTTCTATTTATAGTAGAGACGGGGTCTCGCTCTTGCTCAGGCTGGTTTTGAACTCCTGACCTTGAGCAATCCGCCCGCCTCGGCCTCCCAGAGAGCTAGGATTACAGGCGTGAGCCACCGCGCCCGGCCTCATTTGAGTCTTATAACCACTGTGCAGACCTTATTAGTCTCATTCTACAGAAGAGGATGTGTACCCACAGAAGATAAGTAGCAGAGCCAGGGCTATAGTCCTCATCACTGAAGGCCAAGTCCAGAGCTCTTTTAAATGATGTCTTCGGTATAAATTGAGTCACAAAGATGCTTACAGAGACAGGCCGGCTTTGTAGGTAGGATTTAGCTAGCCAACTCGGCTCTGGGCCTTTGTGAATGTTCTAGTATACTGACCAACAAGAGTCATACAGCTTTTAGGGGTGGGTATGTGAGTGGTTAGGATATTGCAGCAAGAATTAATATTACTTTATTTAATTACTTTGGAAACAAAACCCCCCAAATAATACCTGAACCCAAAGGTACATAAAAAATGGCCAAAAGTATTTAAGATAATAGATTTGAAGATCACTTGTAGTTTCTTCATAACATGAATGCTTTCAGCTGGATAGTATCAAACCATATCAAATCATGTTAAGGCAGATGATCAACCTGTGGTCACACTTGTAACTACTGCTGGGAAAATAATCTTGTTGGAGTTGGAAGCTCTTCCCAGTTGTTTGGTCAGTTGGCCCAGGGAGGGGCAGTCCTGGAGCTGGTAGTTGGGGGAGCCATGCCAAAACCATCTGGTCACTGCTCGTTCTGCTGGCCTTCTGTGGCTGAAGCTGACACGGAGCCCTGGCCCTTGTTGACATCACTGATGCACACCCACTGCCCGTCAACCGACTCTTTCCACAGGGTCACCTGCAAGTCAGTGCACACACAGACTGTCACAGGTCTGCGCCCCTTCCCTCCACTGTCCTCTTTTACTGGGTCCCCCAAATGAGCCACACCCCTGTCAAGAACCACTGAGCACTTATCTTTGTTCTTCCACTGAAATCTCATCAAATGAAAGGAATAAAAAGTCACAAAGAAAAAAGGAGTAGGAATAACGGTAGCTGTGAATGATGATGCTATTTTAACCAAGCTGATAACGCTACAGTGAGAGCAAGTGTGGTTCCTAGACCAAGTGTGGTTCCTAGACCAGAGCATCATATTATCACCTGAGAGCTTGTTACACTGCAAATTCCTGGACCCTGGACCAAGTGATGCATAAGCCCTGGAGGTGGGGCCAGCAATCTGTGTTTTAACAAGTTAACACTAAAGTTTGAGAACTGTGGTAGAGGAAGACAACAGACCACTAAGTACATTGTTTCTACACTGAAGTAAGCTGTGGAAGAAACAGCTAAGAGCTGAAAAGGCTTGTCCCTGGAGAGTGAAAACTAGGAGACTGCATTAAAAAACAAAAATCTAATAAAAACTACCTAAAGCTATGTACGTGTACTAATTTGATTAAAAAAAGAAAAGAAAAGGACTTTAAGAACTGCTTTAGCAAGGAAGGAAACAGCAGAGGACATAAACAGGTGGAAAACCATACCATGCTCATGGGTCAGCAGAATCAACATTATTAAAATGTCTATACTACCCAAAGTGATCTACAGAGTCAATGCACTCCCTATTATCCCATCATCATCTTTCACAGATATAGAAAAAATAATTTTACACTTTGTATGGAACCAGAGAAGACCCCATATAGCAAAAGCAATCCCATATAGCAAAGACCCCATATAGCAAAAGGCAATAAAAACAAAATGGGAGGTATTAATTTATCAGATTTCAAACTATAGTACAAGGCTACAGTAATTAAAACAGTTTGGTACTGGCACAAGAACAGGGACATTGACCAGTGGAACAGAACAGAGAACCCAGATATAAAACCATCCTCATATAGCTATCTAATCTTTGACAAAGCAGATAAAAACATACTGGGGAAAAGAATTCTTATTCAATAAATTGTGCTGGGAAAACTGGATAGCCACATGTAGAAGACTGAAACAGGATCCCACACTTTCACCTCTCACAAAAATCAACTCACTCTGGGTAACAGACTTAAACTTAAGGTGTGAAACTATTAGAATTCTAGAGGAAAGTGTTGAAAATACTCTTCTAGACATTGGCCTAGGCAAAGAATTTATGAAGACGATCCCAAAGGCAATCACAGCAACAACAAAAATAAATAAATGGGACCTGATCAAATTAAAAAGCTTCTGCACAAAGAAACTATTACGAGAGCAAACAGACAACCTACAAAATGGCAGAAAATTTTCACAAGCTACACATCCGATAAAGGGCTGATAACTAGAATCTATTTAGAACTCAGGAAAAGTCAGCAAGAAAAAAATCAAACAACCCTATCAAAAAGTGGACAAAGGACATGAACAGAAACTTTTCAAAAGACAACAGAATAATGGCCAATAAACATGAAAAAATGCTCAACATCTCTAATCATCAGGGAAATGCAAATCAAACCTGCAATGAGATATCACTTATCTCCAGTAAGAATGGCCTTTATCAAAAAGTCCCCAAACAGTAAATGTTGGTGTGGATGCGGAGTGAGAGGAAGGCTAGTACACTGCTGCAGGGACTGCAAACTAGTGGAAAGCAATATGGAGACACCTTAAAGTGATACAAGTAGATCTACCATTTGATCCAGCAATTCCACTACTGGGCATCTACCCAAAAGACCAAAGGCACTCTATAAAAAAGACATCTTCACTCAAATGTTTATAGCAGCACAGTTCACAATCGCAAAGTTGTGGAAACAACCCAAGTGCCCATCAATACATGAGTGGATTAATAAAATGTGGTCTAGGCCGGGCGTGGTGGCTCACGCCTGTAATCCTAGCACTTTGGGAGGCCGAGGCGGGCGGATTGCTCAAGGTCAGGAGTTCAAAACCAGCCTGAGCGAGACCCCGTCTCTACCAAAAAATACAAATAAATTAATTGACCAACTAAAAATATATATACAAAAAATTAGCCGGGCATGGTGGCGCATGCCTGTAGTCCCAGCTACTTGGGAGGCTGAGGCAGTAGGATCGCTGAGCCCCGGAGAGACTGAGGTTGCTGTGAGCCAGGCTGACGCCACGGCACTCACTCTAGCCTGGGCAACAAAGTGAGACTCTGTCTCAAAAAAATAAAAAAATTAAAAAAAAAATAAATATATAAATAAAATAAAAAATAAAAAAAATAAAATGTGGTCTACGTATACCATGGAGTACTATTCAGCTATAATAAGAAACAATGGTGATCTAGCACCTCTTGTATTTTCCTGGATAGACCTGGAACCCAGTCTATTAAGTGAAGTATCCCAAGAATGGAAAAATAAGCACCACATGTACTCACCAGCAAATTGGTATTAACTGATCAACGCCTAAGTGGACACATAGGAATGACATTTATTGCGTGTCGGGCATATGGGGGGGAGGAGGGGATGGGTATGTACATACATAATGAGTATGATGCACACCACCTGGGGGATGGACACGCTTGAAGCTCTGACTGCCAGGGGGTAAGGCAACACATGTAACCTAAACATTTGTACCCCCCATAATATACTGAAATTAAAAAAAAGAACTGCTTTAGGGATAGACCTTATTCATTAAACATGCACTGTGAGGCTGGGCACGGTGGCTCACGCCTGTAATCCTAGCACTCTGGGAAGAGGCCGAGGCGGGCAGATTGCTCAAGGTCAGGAGTTCGAAACCAGCCTGAGCAAGAGTGAGACCCCGTCTCTAGTATAAATAGAAAGAAATTAATTGGCCAACTAATATATATAGAAAAAATTAGCCTGGCATGGTGGCACATGCCTGTAGTCCCAGCTACTCGGGAGGCTGCGGCAGAAGGATCGCTTGAGCCCAGGAGTTTGAGGCTGCTGTGAGCTAGGCTGACGCCACAGCACTCACTCTAGCCTGGGCAACTCTGTCTCAAAAAAATAAATAAATAAATAAATAAATAAAAACACACTAAGGGATGCTATGGAGACAGCAGTAGAGTTGAGCTACCTATAGGAAACAGGCTTATCAAGTGGGAACGAGTAAGAAGCCTAGAATTACACTGACAGCAGACCGGAATATACAACCAGAGACATGCTTACTGCCTAGTAAAAACTTCAGAAGGCCTGCCTGAGGCAGTGGGTCCCTTGGTCTGTCCTGGATGCCATCAGACCTGGGTTCTAGTCCTGATTCTGGCGCTCACTAGAAATAAAGGAGGTTGGATTAGTTGTCCTTTGTGGGCCATTCTAGCTCTAAATTCTATAGCTTTGAGGTGGAGCCTGCTAGATATTTCTGGGACCACTTTAGATCATACGGGACCCTAGGCCAGACAGAAGCTGCCTACAGAGGATCTCAAAGAAATATTTGTACACCCATGTTCACAGCAGCACTATCCACAATAGCTAGGAAGTAGAAGCAACCCAAGTGTCCATCGATGGATGGATAAAATGTGGTCTGTACATATAGTGGCATATTAGCTTTAAGAAGGAAGGAAACTCTGACACATGGAACCTTATGGATGAAACTTGAGGACATTATGCTATATGAAATAAGCCAGTCACAGAAGGACAAATACTGTGTGATTCCACTTAGATGAGGTACCTAGAACAATCAAATTCATAGACATGAATAGTAGAATGGTGGTTGCCAAGGGCTGTGGGGAGGGGAAATAGATAGTTATTTAATGAGTATAGTTTCAGTTTTGGAAGCTGAAAAGAGTTCTAGAGATTAGTTACACAACAATGTGAATGTACTTAACATTACTGAACTATAAAGAATGGTCAAGATGAATCCCACTCCTGACACAAAAAAAGAATGGTCAAGATGATAAATTCTATGTGTATTTTACCACAACTAAAAAAAAAAAAAAGGTGCCTGCAGAGAAGAAGGAACAAGCCACTGCCACCTCCCCAGCTGAATTCTCCTGTAAGGCAGATGATCCCTTACTTTCAGGGTGGTTCCACATGGAACAGTCATGCTGGAAATAAGCACGTTTTCTCTGCTTCCAAGTGTGACTGGGTTAGGGTGCTGCCTGCCCTCACTGCTCCTTTTCTACCCTGTCCTGTGTTGGTCTTTGTTTTACTGAGTTTTCCAGTGGCCACTTTGGCTCCACATCTCACCCTTCCTTTGTGTGGCTCATGGCACAGCAATAAGAGGTAGGTACACAATGGGTACATAATAAATTCCCATAAATTGTACTGATTTTTTAGCCGGGCATGGTGGCGCATGCCTGTAGTCCCAGCTACTCGGGAGGCTGAGACAGAAGGATTACTTGAGCCCAGGAGTCTGAGGTTGCTGTGAGCTAGGCCGATGCCACGGCACTCACTCTAGCCTGGGCAACAAAGCGAGACTCTGTCTAAAAAAAAAAAAAAAAGAAAAATTGTACTGATTTTTAAAAACATGCTTTTTAAGTGTTTTGGATAAAAAACTAAATATTTTCAGTTCTGTGATGTTCCATGAAAAAAAAAAAAAAACTAAATCTTCTCACTTTTGTTTATGATTTCTTTTTCTTACATACTTTTGTGGCAAAGCTAACTGAACATCCCCATGAAGATAAGGTGACCAAATGGTTAGGATGACACACCTGACTGGCTCTGCCACCTAACAGCTTCGTGACCCCCATGCAAATCAAACTGCCTCTGTCAGCTTCTTTCCTTATCTGTAAAAGGTGAACACATTACCTCAGAGGGTTGCGCAATTCAGTGATGCACTTAAGGCACATGCTCAAAATGCAGCCCTCACTAAGGTTCCTCCCAAGCATGGGAGATGGGACTGTCCCTTGCGCTCTCTAGTGGGCAAGGTGGGAACCAGCAGAGCTCTGTCCACTACACCACTGGAAATGGATGTACCTTGTTGTCTCCGCCGGAGACGGCCAGAATGTTGGCTGTGATGGACCAGCTCACGTGCCACACGACATCATTGAACTTGTGCAGCAGTTTGGGGGACCATGTGTTGCCCGAGGCATCATCACAAGTCCAAATGAATACACGACCATCCTAGGAAGACAGGTTAGAGTCAGGAGATGGGGGCAAGAATCTTGCATTTGTGATATCCTCCCAACCTGGAGCCACACGGGACCTTTCTGTAGGAACAGGGTGGGTATTCGAAGCAAAGGGTAGCCAAGGACCTCTTTGGTGTCCACAGCTTTGACGGCCAATTTCTAGCCCAGCACTTTTGCTTCTGTCCCTTTGCCCTGACACAAGAGTCTCCCAGGTTCTTTTTCTCATCCTAGTTTCACATCTGGACTTCGTCTGCACTGCTAACTTTCAAGTTTCTCTGGAGTCTTCCTTCTGTCTGCTGAGTCACTTCCCTCTGGCTGTCTGTACTTTCTCAAGTGAATGGGTACAGCTGTCTAAAAACTAAGCTCAAGAAAATGAGAAGGGACCAAAAAGAAATCACAAAGATCTCTCAAATTTAGAGCTAAACAAAATAGGCTCAAATGATGTAGGCCGGGCATGGTGGCTCATGCCTGTAATCTCAGCACTTTGGAAGGTTGGGGTGTGATGATTGCTTAAGGCCAGTTCAAGACCAGCCTAGGCAACTTAGCAAGACCCCGTTTCTATAAGAGACTAAAAAGAAAAACAAATTAGCCAGATGTGGTGGCGTATGCCTACAGTCCCAGCCACTTGGGAGGCTGAAGCCCAGGAGTTCAAGGTTGCAGTGAGCTATGATCCGGCTACTGCTTGCTAGCCTGGGTGACAAAGGAAGACCTTGTCTCTGGGAAGGAAAAAAAAAAAGTAAAAGGCCTGGCTTCATTCTCTGTAGGGAGGTAGAAGTATATAATTAAAGGCTTGTCCTTGGTCTTACTTTACTTTTATGATGTCTGGGCAGGGTGGCTAGGTAGGTGAGTCCAAAGTCTTAGAATTTCCCATCTCACCTGATCCTTGCTTGAGAGCACCTCCATCCCCCATTCACACGAGGGTCAGGAGGGAAAATTGGTCCTGAATTTGGCCCCACTCTTGGCATCGGTTCTATTGTAATCATTTTCTCTCAGGGGAGGCAGGTTACCTTGGCTTCTGACCAAGACTTCAATGAATGACGACCTGAATGCACATGTTCCTTCCTATCTCCACATTGGTCCAGAGGTGCCTGTTGCTCTCCCTTTGCCTTCTAAGAGGATTTTCCACTAAGGAGACCATAAAGGCTGATGGTCCTCACTCAAGATTACATGGCATGCGACGCTCGCAGGGATCTGGGCTCACCTGGGAACAGCTGGCGATGGTGCTGGTGGGCAGGCCAATGGAGGGGGCCCAGGCCACGTCTCGGACCCAGTCACTGTGCGCCTCCAGCTTCTGCTCCTCCTTCCACTGGCCGTCCTCCTCCTCCCTAGCACGGCAGACCAGAGGGAGAATCCAGCAGGCAGCGGCCCATGGGCCTTTCCCACAAACTCATCCCTCCCTCAACGCAAAGGCTCCACCAGCAGCACAGAAGCGAGTCCACCTTTCTGATTTCATTTATTGAGCCTGCAGAACTTCATTCAGTTAACTGTAAAGAAACCCTGCAGGAAATGCTTTGTTTCTCCACAGACAAAAAGTGTCTCTAACAGTTGGGAACTAGGTGAATAGTAAAAGTGTGTGGGGGAAAAAAAGGATATCTTCTGACAGACTGAGAACAGCATTTTACTGGCCAGAGAGAGAAAGAAAGGTGACCTCGTTTGTTGGGAACTGTGGTTGAGTCATGGTAGGGAGGGTAGAGGGCAGAAGTATCCCTCTGAAGAGAAGCCCACGCAACCCCACTTACTTCCACAGCTTGATGAGGTTGTCACAGCCACCTGATGCAAACTTCTTGATGTAATTGGGTTTCTGTCCTGACGGCTGGTCTATGAGGCTTCCAGGTACAACAGCAGGGGCCCAGCTGACAGCATTGCAGCCAATCTGTAAAGATGGGGACATGTAGTGACTTTGCTCTTTTGCCCTGCAATAGAATAGACCAGCCTTCTGCAGGCCCAAGGCTGCAATTCATTTGCCCTCCAATTCTCAGGACCAGATTCCGTAGGACAGCGGATGTGATGAACAAGAAGGATTAGCCACAACTCTCCCTCAGGATTCCTAACAGTGCAGGCATTTTTCTGAAGGATGCATTTAAAGTAGGAATTAGGAACTCTGGGAAATTTAATAAGCAGGATATTTTTTAAAGACATGAAAAAAGAGCACGTTGGGTCTATTTTTTTATTAAAAAATATTATAGGCTGGGCATGGTGGCTCACGCCTGTAATCCTAGCACTCTGGGAGGCTGAGGCAGGTGGATTGTTTGAGCTCAGGAGTTTGAGACCAGCCTGAGCAAGATTAAGACCCTGCCTCTACTAAAAAAAATAGAAAGAAATTAGCTGGCTAACTGAGGCAGGAGGATCGCTTGAGCCCAGGAGTTTGAGGTTGTTGTGAGCTAGGCTGTTACCATGGCACTCTGGCCTGGGCATCCTTTGGCTCATGGCCCCCTTCCTTAAATAAACTAACTCTAGCCCAGGCAAGAAAGTAAGATTCTGTCTCCAAAAAAAAAAAAAAAAAAATACTATAAAGTAACAGATTTAGAGAAACACACAAAATAAATACACGGCTTAATGAGTTAGTTTAAAAGCACTCCTGTAACCACCACCAGGTCAAGAAATAAAAGTCTGCCACCTACCTGAGAAGGCCAGTCATTGTGTCCCATGCTGATCACAGCTCCTTCTCCCCCAGTAAGTAACCATTGCCCCGACTTCTCAATATGTTCCTTCTTTTTCCAGTTTGTTACCCAAATATGCATCCCTAAACACTACAGTCTTTTCTATTAAAATTTGTTTTTTATGCTTTTTACATCTCCTAATTTGTAGATTCTTCCTGATTTTTTTTCCCTTACCATATTCCCACAAGCCTCTCTCGAACTGTTCACTTTTGCAAGTTTCAGCAGACAGAGAACACAGAGCCCCAAGTAGCAAGGCCCTGAGACAGGCTCCTGGGGCCTGGAGGGCTGCGCATGCTGTGGGCCCTCCTGGATCCCCCATATTTGAGAATTGCAAAAGTACAGTGTAAGCTTTGGGGCTACGAACTTTAAGTTTCCATCAGGTAGACATCAGAAGTATTTGGGGCCACCAAAGCCAGGACTGCTGTATCAAAAGAAGGCACACAGACTCCAAGGTTCTAATCCTGGCACAGTGCCTTCTCTAAGTCCCGTACTTTTGCTGAGCCTCACTTGCCTCATCATAAAATGGGATCAGGACTGCTTACCTTGAAAATCTATACATTTGTTAGTTCCTTCCTTCATTCACAAATGTTTGTGAGACTTATATGACACACAGTAGGGCTCAACAAACAAGAAATTTTTCTCACTGTGCACGATGCTTTCTTGACTGTTTCAACCCTAAGGTCTGAAGACCAGGAGCGCAGCAACTAAATCCCTGTGATGCTTTTCATCCCACCACTCAATTCTAGGGTGTGACTGAGCAGTGACATAAAATGCCTATTGCAGAACATGTCAACCTGAGCAAGCCATAGCTAAGGTGACCGGTAGGTAGGCTGTGGCCGCACCTTCCTGGTGCCCAGCCTCCCTGACTTGGGGCCATATGAGCAGCCAGTGCCAATCCCTGCCCTGGACTGAATGAGGCTGCTGCAGCCCAGCCTGGCTTCAGAGCAGAGCAACTCAAGGATGTTCCATACCAAGCGCGTCTGGTCAGCAGCCGCCCCGCCCGACCCACCGCACAGCAGGGACACTGCCCCGCCATGCTCTCGGCAGTCAGACTCACGGCAAAGCAACAGATGTGCCCTACATGAAGGCCGGGGCTGGACTTACAGCGTGAGCGTTGTTGATCTTCTTCACTTCCCACTGGCCTTCCCCAGTGTAGGTCAGCAGGGAGATGGCCCCATCCGAGCTCCCACAGGCCAGGATCAGGCCGTAGTCGTGGGGGGCCCAGCACACGGAGTTCACTGCAGGAAGGAGGAAGGCACCGTGAGTAGAGAGAGCATAGCCCCAGAGTTTAGATTTTGATTTCTCAGATTTACTGTTTTATTAAATTTCTAAAAAAAACCCTACAGGGATCACCAGAGGAAGTTGTAATTTGGCTAACTAAGGACATTAAAAAAAAACTATCACCTATATCATCATTTCATAAATTAAAGACTATCTTGACAAACAAGCATGAAGGACAACAATGTGAGAATAATAAAGGCCAGTACTTAAAACGAATGAACCTTAAGAAGAACTCACTGTGTTGTCCTTGCTTTTCTCATTTTGCGTTGGACTGGCTTTAGTCTTAGGGCCTCTGTCCTGTGGACAGACTAGCAGGAGAGCCAGCCGGAACCCAAGGCACAGATGAGAAGCACCACGAGGGGAAGGGAGCAGGGATTCAGCAGGACAGGCCTTCCTCACAAGGGCCCCTTGCCTGCCCCTCCTGCCACACTCAGCGTACCTGAAGAGTCGTGTCCTGAGTGCTCGTGGGTCTTCTCCCAGGTGCCGTTTTCTTCTTTCCAGATAATGACTTTCCGGTCGTAGGAGCAGGATGCCAGGATATTGCCGTACATGGGGTGGGCCCAGGCCACTTGCCACACGGGACCCTCATGACTGCAAAGGGAGGGGTCAGAGGCTGCTCAGATGGGCCAGAGGAACCCACAGTGTCCCTGCCAGGCACCACTCTGGATAGAACCAAGTGGCTTCCTTGGGGGGCTGACACAATGTCTCAGGACAGAACTGCCTAAGAACTTTAAAAAGGAGAACTACAGAAGGCCACTGCCAACAGGAATGCTCACTGGACAGTGAGGATCACAAGGCCCAGACAAGCTAAGCAACTAAAGGTCACAGAGCCTTTGAAGAGTCAGGACTCTGGGTCTGCCTCCCTATCCTGGCCAGGCAGCAACCTCACTTGCCCTAGACTGTAGCCAGCATTGCTTATATCTGCAGTCATCAATATAATTATTAATCCGTCTAGGGTTTATACCCACAAGTGCTCAGTAAATATCAGTAGATTGAATCACTTCATCCTTGCAGACAGTCAACTTCTTGAGCAGGCAGTATCCATTTCACTGAAATACTTTTTTTTTTTTTTTTTTTGAGACAGAGTCTCACTTTGTTGCCCAGGCTAGAGTGAGTGCCGTGGCGTCAGCCTAGCTCACAGCAACCTCAAACTCCTGGGCTCAAGCGATCCTTCTGCCTCAGCCTCCCGAGTAGCTGGGACTACAGGCATGCACCACCACGCCCGGCTAATTTTTTGTATATATATTAGTTGGCCAATTAGTTTGTTTCTATTTATAGTAGAGACGGGGTCTCGCTCTTGCTCAGGTTGGTTTCGAACTCCTGAACTCAAAGGATCCGCCTGCCTCGGCCTCCCAGAGAGCTAGGATTACAGGCGTGAGCCACCGCGCCCGGCCTGAAATACTTTTTAATTTGTTCAAAAAACAAGTCTGTCCCTTTTCTTCCGATCTTTATCCATTCACCCGATAACAGTGCTGTCTGAGGCTTTGTACAGGGACTATTTCTCTGGTGCAGGGTGCACCTCAGCACACAAGAGGTAGCATGGTGCAGTCAGTGGTTGTGAGCCCAGGCTCTTGCCAATCCACGCCCCTGTTCACTAGCTCTTGACTTTAGGCGACGATCATATCGTCTCTATAGCTTTGACTCTATCTGAAAATGGAGATATCAATGAGCCATCTTTCATAGGTGGTCACGATGGTTAAATTTATGATAACTCAGGTACAGAGCTTAGAACAATGCTTGGTACAAGAAAAGAAAAAAACCACTCAATAGCTGTTAGCTATTAGTGCTGCTCCTCATGCACTCCTTCACCCTAGGGCTGCAGACACCGAAATCTGCTCCTCTCTCTAGCTGAGACAATGGTACACTCCCAGTCTCTATAACGGTGCTGCTAACGAAACTGCGAGTAGACTCAAATTTCCAACAACCAGCACAGTTCTTTTTTTATTTTTTTGAGACAGAATCTCACTCTGTTGCCATGGCTAGAGTGCTGTGGTGTCAGCCTCGCTCACAGCAACCTCAAACTCCTGGGCTCAAGCGATCCTCCTGCCTCAGCCTCCCGAGTAGCTGGGACTACAGGCATGCGCTACTATGCCCAGCTAATTTTTTCTATATATTTTTGGTTGTCCAATTCATTTCTTTCTATTTTTAGTAGAGACAGGGTCTCGCTCATTCTTGCTCAGGCTGGTTTCGAACTCCTGACCTTGAGTGATTTTCCCGCCTTGGCCTCCCAGAGTGCTAGGATTACAGGCGTGAGCCACTGCACCCGGCCTGACCAACACAGTTTTAACGGAGGCAAAAAAGAATGGAGGTGATGGAGATGTGAATTTTTTATCCCAAAATATTTCACATCCTTTGACATAAGAAAAACAGAGAGCAGAAAGTACCAAGTCACAGCAAATGCAACCATCTATGCCAGTGCTGCCAACCCACCGCACCCTAGCAGCTGTGTTTGGCTGGAGGCTTCCGCCCAGAGGAGCTGGCATTTGGCTCACCAGTCGTTTGATCCTTGGTGCTCAGGAAACAGGAACTTCTAGGGCCTGTTTTCCTGAATGGACACTGACTAAGTTTACATTTTCTCTGATTCAGTTAACAGATACATGCTGAGAATCTACTTGTCAGAGCTCTCAATCTCTCTTGTGCAATCTGATGAGGGTTTTGGATCTCTTTTTAAAATAATGCACAAAATACACAGAACTGGACTTATAAAGAAAACCCAATTAGATTGAAATGCAGTTACCAAAATGAAAAACAACTTACGAGATACATGTGCTTCTTTTCTTTGTTAACACTTCAAGCAACAAATTCCAGCGGCAAGACTAATAACCACTGTAATTTTAAAGTCATGATAAGCAAAAATGATAATCTGTGATGGCTAAACTATAACATGGGATGAAAATATCTGTGACTTCTATTAGTGACAAAGTGACAGGTACTAGAAATACTACAGAGGTTTCAGGCCTACACGCATAACTGAAGAAAATGCTAAATATCAGAGTCATTGAAAATAAAGATGTGATTGGTTTTCTCCCTGCCCAAATTCACCAACTCCTAAATTCTATCCACAGAACCCTTGGAGATCCATGAAACCCAAGTAAAGAAAGGCAGTGAACAGAGGGAAAACAGTAGAGATGTGGCCATAAAAATGAGCCAGGACTTCCTCAAGGATCTTAGTAGGGAGAAGGGTTAAATCAAACTTTTGTAAATATTCACTGAACACCTACCATGGGCAAATAGGCAGAACAACGGGATTTGTAAAATTATTATCTGTACCTTATTCTTATAGTAATGCACTTGAGAGACATTTTAGATCATACTGTCTAAACTTGCGCAAAATAGTACTGCTTACCGCTTTTAAAAGTAGCAGCAGCTGCCTGCACTGAAGACTTCCTGTGTGCTGCGCGCTGTGACAGGGCCTCACGTGCACTACTGGGAAGGAGGCAGCACTGGTCCCATTTTGAGGGTGAGCAGATGAAGGCTGAGAGACAGACTGCCTCACTTGCCCAAGGTCTTCCAGTGGGTATACATATGGGGGACAGAACCAAGATTCACAGCCCGATCCACCTGTGCCCTTAATCACATCACCCCCAGGGACATCTGCTGAGGGCAGCCAGGGTGGCTGGGATCCAGGCATCCTCAATGCTAAACACACTTTAGGCTTGCTCTGAATCTGGGTTCTTACCCTTTCTTTCCGTGCTTGAAGCAGGGCCTGAGAACCAAAGCGTTTGCTGAGGCCTTCCCTAAGCTTGCCAACAACACTTACCCCCTGAGGTCGGCGATGAGGATCTGCCCTCCGTTGCGCACGTCAAAGATTTTGACGGACCTGTCCGATGAGCAGGTTGCCAGGCGGGTGCCATAGTAATCCATCTGGGCATCGTGCTGCAAAGGGAGGACAGCTCGGAAAGCCTGCAGGCTGGGCGGGTGGGGGCGGGGGTGGTCACCACACAGAGAGTCTAGTTTGGACCAGAATCCACCTGAAATTATTCTAACCTCAAAGAATCATCACCATCAGGCAGGAAGCTAGAATGTGGACATTCTCATTTCTCTGATAGGCAGTGTCTTAAGGGACAAGTCACACCCAGCTGGTTGTACAAACTCTTTACGTACTCTGGGAAAGGTCCCAATCCTGTTCTGTAGGGTAGGTATGGGGGCAAAAAGCTGGCCTAGCTGCTCTTCTTCCTCCTCTTGGTCCTCACCTGGGTCTTAGGCTCCAAGGGCCACTGTGGAAGATAACCTCAGGTTCAGCTCAGTCCCAAAATCCAAAGCTAATGCTTGTAAGCTGGCCAAGGGAGCAGGCCTCCGTCTGTAGGTCCCAATCAGGTTATCTACGATGTACCTCTAGCCTAGACACAGAGTTCCACTCAGATATTTGGGCTCTTTCGCTCCATCCCTGGCCCTGGGTCCTTAGTGGACCTTTGCCTCTTGGTTTCTGCGTGACCTTTTTCCTAGGGAGCCCATTACCCCAGACTCCCCACCCAACACAATACCTTAAGTGTCGCCGGTCCTACCACTTTTGAACGGAATTCCTTGATGCTAGATAACCACCCAGAGGTAGGGCTGGCCCTGCCCACAGTTCCTTGTCCATCTGGGTGATGGTTCCTCTGAGGCATTTTGCCTACCGCCCTGCTGAATACCCTGGTCCCTCCTCACTTGCTGGCTCTGCCTATTCCAATGGATGCCGCTTTCCTCAGCTGTCCCGTCTCGGGGGATTCAGGGAATATCAGTTGTTACTCCTGTGGTGATCAGGAGCAATTATACCCTTTCAAAGGAGGCACTCACTCTGTCTGCATCAACACTCCTTTCTCACCTCCCTACCCAAAGAAAGCATCTGGATTCTTCTTTGGAAGTCAACCCTCCCCCCATATTAGGTCTTGGTTTCTTGGAAGGCAGGCATTCAGGTGTGTTTCTGAAGCACTCCTGCAGTGCTGTCACGCAGCGGGAGGAAGCAAGGCATAGTGCCTGAGAAATTTAAATCCTATCTCCTTAGCTCATGTGCCGTGCAACCCTTGTCCTTGAGCTCCAGTTTTCTTACCTTTAAATGGGGCACCTTTAAATAGCATCTGCTTCAAGGGTTGCTATGAGGGTTAAATGAGATACTGAATGAAAAGTACTTAGCATGGGGTCTGACAGCATGCAAATGCTCGTCATTATTACTGTGCCTCATCTGTTCCTCAAACCAAATTCACACAGGTAGATAGCATATCCATTACCTTGGGGAAACTAAGGCTGGCTCAGAGAAGACACTGGCTGGCTTGGGAGTCTCAGGTTGGATCTTCTTGCCCCTGATGCCACACTATCTCTGCGAAGGTGTGCTCTTACAGCAACTGCTGGTGGACTGTTGTGAAGGCAAGATGCCCAGCATGAAACACTCCAAGACTGACCTGGGTCTTGTTTGAAGGCTGCTTGGACTATGTGGCCCTGAATGAAGCAGAGTCTGCATTTTTTCTGGTGGAGACTTTAACCTCTGGACCTTCCCCTGTAGCCCAGTCCTACACTGAGCCATGTGTTTTTCTCTCAGGAAGTGCCCTAATGACTTCTGGTTCAAAGGGCCTTGTCTGGCCTATTGCCTGCGGTGATTCTACATGCCTCTGCCTTGGGCTTTCAGCCTCTGCCTCTGTATTGCCTTCTCTCTTCCTTTAACCCCCTTTCCAGTGGGGCTAAGAAGTGACAGCAAGAGGAAGATAGGAGGGAACACTACTGTCAAACCTCTGCTCCCATGCCAGAGCAGGGTACTGTGTTGACCACAAGACTGAGAGGCTTAAACGACAGGCCATTCCCAGGTTCCTCCCAGCAGAGAGTGACCAGACTGCCATAGCCCTGCCAACTCAGAGGGAATTGCTGGGGAGACTAAGTATATCCCTGAGGGTACAGCCTACCTGGCAACTGCTGCAAAGCCACAGCTGGATTCATGAATGATCAACAGAAAGGGGCAATAAAAAATCCAAACTGCCCCGCCACAGAAATGCCCATGTCCACAGCCTGGGGGGAGGGAGGGGCTAAATGAATACTTACAATCATGTCCTCATGGGAGGTGTCCACAGTGTTAATTACTGACACCTAGAACCAAAGATATTGCTGGTTAAGTAACTGATGGCAGTTAGAATGCAATCATCTCAATAAATCCAACAATTGTTTCTGAAGTTCATGACTATGTTTGTTCCCTCATTCAGTGAACATTCAAAGTACCTTCTTTTTTGCCAAGCACTGGAGATACAGACATGAATAAGAGGTACTATTTGTCCTTGAGAATCTTGCACATAAATAACCATAACATGGCAAAATAAATCCCCTTTTTTTTCCCTTCTTTTTTTTGAGACAGAGTCTTGCTCTGTTGCCTGGGCTAGACTGCAGTGCCATCATACCTCAAAGCAGCCTCCAACTCCTGGGCTCAAGCGATCCTCCCGTCTCAGCCTCCCAAGTAGCTGGAATACAGGCATGCATGCCACCACACCTGGCTAATTTAAATTTTTTTTCCCTAGGGACAGGATCTTCTTATATTGCCTAGGCTGGTCTTGCACTCCTGGCTTCAAGCGATCCTCCCACCTCAGACTCCCAAAGTGCTAGGATTACAGGCGTGAGCCACTGTGCCTGCCCAAGATAAATTAACAGTGATTTACGTGTGCTGTAGGAGCCTGAGGCGAGTGGCGGTGGTAGATATGAACTGAGCCTTAGATGATGAGTAGGAATTTGGCAAGTGCACAGGGGAAAAGTACAGTCCACGCAGAGGGAATAACACAAGCAAAGACACACATGTCTGGGAGAGCTTGAGGTGTGTGGGGAGTGGCAAGCAGTCCTGGCTACCTTTGAGGGTGAGGAGGAACCCAAGGGAGCTAAGCTGGTGTTCCCTTCCTGGACAAGAGATCCTCTAATGCTTCAGGCACAATGTCAGAGTACAAGAGCCCCCAGTTCTATTCAGCAGATGTGATATGAATAACAGGGTTGTTACCCAAGACTTGATTCAAGTTTTTCTGAGGCTGCTCCCTGGTCCACCACTTGTGACAGACCCTAGATTGTCATTCAAGTTTAAACAGTTTGTAGGGCTGGAACACAGCTGTCATGGTCTTTGCTCTCCTACTCATTCTTTGAGGTCCAGTTCTAATTGCACACCCTGCCCCATGCCCGTTTGAAGATTCTCAGATCCCTAAATGGCTGGACCCCCATGCGTATCTTCGGCATGGAATGTCTACAACACTTTATGTTGTTTCCTTTTTTTTTTTTTTGAGACAGAGTCTCACTTTGTTGCCCAGGCTAGAGTGAGTGCCATGGCATCAGCCTAGCTCACAGCAACCTCAAACTCCCAGGCTCAAGCAATCCTCCTGCCTCAACCTCCCAAGTAGCTGGGACTACAGGCATGCGCCACCATGCCTGGCTAATTTTTTCTTTATATATATATTAGTTGGCCTATTAATTGCTTTCTATTTATAGTAGAGACGGGGTCTCGCTCTTGCTCAGACTAGTTTCGAACTCCTGACCTCGAGCAATCCGTCCGCCTCAGCCTCCCAGAGTGCTAGGATTACAGGCGTGAGCCACCACGCCTGGCCTATGTTGTTTCTTCTCCTCACGAGAAGGTGACCTCCCTGGAGCCATGGTCTGAGCCATCTTCAGTCCTGAATCTCCTCAAATCATCCAGCACAGAGCTTTGCAAACAGAAGAAACTCACAGAAAGAGCCCAGGAACTATTTGCTGAATGAATAAATAAATGAATAAAAACTTGTTATTTTTTTCTTTGCTCAACCACCATTCTGTAAATTCCTGGGATAGAAAGGGGAACTAAAAAGGAGGGTTCAGTTTAGAACGCACATTTCTTTTTATTTTTTAAATTAAAAAAAATTCTTGAATTCTCTGCTGCTTGAATCAGAATGGAACAGACATTTCTTACCATTTCCCCCATTTCATCCTTTCCAGCACAAGCCCCACAGGTATAAAGTCTAACTTGACTTTCCAGAAAGGTAGACATGGGAAGAGGCTGGCTGCAAAGCAGTTCAAGAAGTACACACCAAGTAAGCACAGCTTCTCTCATCAAATTCTAGACTCCCTAAAAAGCAAGTCCCCAAGGTCTGCAGAAGCAAGTAAGGAAGATAAGGAGTCTCCTCCATGTGCCGAGCTAGGCAGGTTACCAAGTGCTTTCACGTGTGCACTGAGAGCTACCAAAGGCAGAGCCACCTGACAGACTAACGAACTGAAGGAGCCCATACAAGAGAAAGCACTTGCCAAAGTCACAGAGGTAGTTAGCAGAGGTAGTTAGGCAGAGCTGGGGGAAAAATCTCCATGTCCTAACTCCCAGCCCACAGAGCTTTCCAATCCAAATGAAAGCTGCCTATCTAGAACATAAAGTAGTTGTTACGCCAAATTCCCTAAACCCAATGGCTGAAAGATAAATAGAGTCAGGAAGAAAGTTTACTAAGAGGTAGTTTGATCCCAGGTTTCCAAAGGACCTTAGAAATAATCAGCATTTATTTCTAACCACTCTCACCCACCAGCCAGGGTTGGTGAACCATGCTTCTAAACAGGTGGGTGTGTTTTAAAGCCTTAGAGTACTTTCTCCTGAGCAACTGATGTTATCTGGTCCTTGTTAAGTAGTAAGAGGCAGCACTTAAATCAATCCCCCTCTTCAGAATCAGATGAGTTAAAAATTCATTTTTTTTAATTTTTATTTTCTTCTTTTATCTTTTTTTTTGTTTTGGCTATGTGAGTTCTGATAAGCTCCTGTAAAAATTCATTTAGAATGAGCTGATTGTCAAGAGTGTAAGAGGCCCCAGTTATGGCTGGGTGTGGTGACCCATGCCCGTAATCCAAGCACTCTGGGAGGCCAAGGCGGGCAGATTATTTGAGCTCAGGAGTTCAAGACCAGCCTAGCAAGAGTGAGACTCTGTCTCTACTAAAAAAATAGAAAGAAATTAACTGGACAACTAAAAATATATACATAAAAAATTACTCTGGGAGGTCGAGGTGGGCATGTTGCTCAAGGTCAGGAATTCGAAACCAGCCTGAGCAAGAGCGAGACCACGTCTCTACTATAAATAGAAAGAAATTAATTGGCCAACTAATATATATAGAAAAAATTAGCCGGGCATGGTGGTGCATGCCTGTAGTCCCAGCTACTCTGGAGGCTGAGGTAGCAGAATTGCTTGAGCCCAGGAGTATGAGGTTGCTGTGAGCTAGGCTGACGCCACGACATTCACTCTAACCTGGGCAACAAAGCGAGACTCTGTCTCAAAAAAAAAAAAAAAATTAGCCGGGCATGGTGGCCACGCATGCCTGTAAGTCCCACCTACTGGGAGGCTGAGGCAGGAGGATTGCTTGAGCCCAGGAGTTTGAGGTTGCTGTGAGCTAGGCTGTCGCCATGGCACTCTAGCCTGGGCAACAGAGCAATACTCTGTCTCAAAAAAACAAAAGAGCCCCCAATTCTGTTCAGCAGCGAAAAAACCAGAGGCCAAAAGAGGTGAATGATTTAACACCTACCCCCCCCGCAAAACAAGAACTAACCCAGTGTTCTGATTTCTGGGTTCCAGCAGGCTCCCTCAAACCTGCTGTTGAGATACACCCATTTTCCTAAGAGCACATGTTTGCTAGACTGTGCCAGGCTCAGGCTAGATACTTCCATCCATTAGTTCTCATTCATTCACTCAATGGGTAAGTGTGGACTGAATGCGCATTGCGGATACTACAGAGATTAAAAAAACTGATCCCTGCCCTTAGATACTCACAGAGCTCATCCTCACATCAGTTTCCTGAAGACTCCCCCCATGCCTTGAGGGCCCTACGGGAGCAACTGTTCATCATCTCTGCTGTGAGAGGTACATGGCAGAATAGGATGGTTAGGGGGGTTCAAATCTCGGCTCTGCCATTTACCAGCTGTGAGGTTTACTTCGCTGAACCTCAAGTTTCCTCATCTGTAAATTGTTGCTAATAATGGCACCTACTCCACAAGGCTGTCAGCAGGCTGGGATTACCTCGAACTTACTAAGAGGTCAGTATCAGATACCGCAGCTCCTACGGTGTTTTGGTTCTGACAGAACAGAATTGTTGACGGAAGAGGACAGGAGAGATTGATTAGCAGGAGACGCGACAGCGACGCGGTCGACAGAGTTCCAGAGGCTCCGCGGCTTCACCCCTGGCCTCCCCCTCGAAAGGTCCGCAGGGACAGGCCAGGGCCCCCAAAACTCCAAAGCGGTGGAGGGGAGCTGAACGGCCCCAGCCAGGGTTTTGAACCTCGCGCGTCCAGGAACCCGCGAGGGTCGCGACCGTGGCCCGAACCCTGCTTGGCCTCCCTAGTTCCAAAACTCACCATGACTGCGGCGGTGGCGGCTCCAGGCCTCGGACGTGGCAGCTCCCGGCGGCGCCTCCGAACAGCTCACTTCCGGCGCCGGGCTGGCAAGCTGTCGGGCCGTGGCTTAAGAGCCTCCGTGCGGCAACGCGCCCCGCCAGCACCAAAGTTCCGAACCTTCCACAGGCCACGACACGCCCTCCTGTGGCCCCGCCCATGGCCCCCTCCCCTTGTCCTTGAGAAAATGTGCGACCCAAGGGGTGGGGCTTCAGTTGCCATGGCGACCCTGACTCGGGGACTTTGGAATCCAAAGCTCTGGTGAGTCTTCTGTCCTGAGCAAGCCCACCCTTTTCCTGAGAACCATGAATGAAAGAAAAGATTTCTAGGCTGGGGCGGTGGCTCAAGGTCAGGAGTTCGAAACCAGCCTGAGCAAGGGCGAGACTCCGTCTCTACTAAAAAAATAGAAAAATTAATTGGACAACTAAAAAAAAAAATAGAAAAAAAATTAGCCGAGCATGGTGGCACATGCCTGTAGTCCCAGCTATTCGGGAGGCTGAGGCAGGAGGATCACTTGAGCCCAAGAATTTGAGGTTGCTGTAAGCTAGGTTGATGCCACGGCACTCTAGCCTAGCCTGGGCAACAGATTGAGACTCCAACTCAAAAAAAAAAAAAAAGGCCGGGCGTGCAGGCTCACACCTGTCATCCTAGCACTCTGGGAGGCCGAGGCAGGTGGATAGCTCGAGGTCTGGAGTTTGAAACCAGCCTGAGCAAGAGCGAGACCACGTCTCTACTATAAATAGAAAGAAATTAATTGGCCAGCTAATATATATAGAAAAAATGAGCCAGGCATGGTGGCGCATGCCTGTAGTCCCAGCTACTCGGTAGGCTGAGGCAGCAGGATTGCTTGAGCCCAGGAGTTGGAGGTTGCTGTGAGCTAGGCTGACACCGTGGCACTCACTCTAGCCTGGACAACAAAGCGAGACTGTGTCTCAAAAAAGAAAAAAAAAGGAGCTTCACATGCCTCCCTGCTGTTCTGAGTGTCACCGGCTTTATGATGAACATTGTAGGATGATTTCTTGGGGTGGGGAGCATGAGTAAATTGGTCCTCCTGCTTCTTTTTGACAAGTCCCTCCTTGGGACCCAAGGACTGAGACCAGAGCAGAGGAGGCCAGCGAATGCCTAGAGGCTGAGACCTCTCGCCCTGCCCTCTCTAAGCCACAGGACTGATGCCTCCAAATTGCCTCTTCCAAACTGAGCCCCTGGAATCCGACCGGAGTGTAGATTCCCTGGAAGCAAGGAGGGCCCTCAGCCCATCTCCTGTAGCTGGAGCCCAGGACCCAACCCCTGGGTCCCTGGCTTCCCACGGGAGGACAGCTGAAGGCTCCCCACAAGCACAGTGAGAATGCTGCACTGGAGGACAGAGGCTGGGGGCTCCCCTCAGCCACACAGGGTCCAGCCCTGGGCTCCCTCCAGACACTAAGGAAGCAAGTGACCCAGGGTGAAGCCTCAACTCCCCTTGGGTAAGTCACAATCCTTCAGTTTCCTCTGTTGAAACTAGGAAGGCCCTAGCTGGAGAAGGTCACCAATCGAGGGAATATGTTGAGGCTCAGAGAGGGTGATAGACCCAGACTGTCAAGGAGCTTTGGAAGGGGCCAGGGGGTGGGGGGTTAATAGAACTAAGGGCCAGGCCTCAGCGGAGCAACCCACTCTTTCACCCTTTCAAGATTTGTTAATTCCCTCCTGTGAAGAAATGTTGCCGGCGTGTGGGGGGTGCTGCTTAGGGTAGAACAAGTATAAATGTGGGTGTGGGGCACCTCTTGGGTCTCCTGTTCTTGAAGGGCCAGGCCCCGGCCTAGGGTCTGCAGCTGCACCACTGACGCTCTGGGTGATGAGGTCAAGTCACTTCTCTCTGAGCCTCATTTTCCTCGAGTGGAAAATGGGGACAAGGGAACATTAGACATAATGTAAGGGAATATTCGACATATATTATATATTAGATATAAAATAAATATAACAACTGTTATTAAATTTTTTGTGTAGGCATTGAAGTTGGAGAGATTGGGGATGTGGGACAAGCAACAGAACTACCCCATCCAGCTGTGCCAGCTCTGCAGAAAGCTGCTGGACCGCAGTGACCTCCAAGCCTGGAGGGTCATGCCCACTTCCCAGGGGCCATGAGGGCCAGGTGAGGCGAGTGTGGGACGGGGCAGTGAGGCTGGGGAGCAGCGGGGAGCTGTCTGCTACGCAGGATGGAGACGAAGTGTGGGCGCACCTCTTCCAAGGTGGCACCTCCCTGCATGTGGCGAGCCCCAGCTGCCCAGGGGTCTGGGCAGGAGACCCTCCGTCTTGCTTTCATCGTCCCTTCTGAGCCCCACCTGAAGGCCTGGAGGAGGTGGCACATGCTGCGTGCAGCCAGCGCACTCCACTCTGGGGAAGAAACCTCCACGTCCTCGCTGAGCATCTCCTCCGGAATCTCCTCCTCCTGCTTGAGCCTGCCGGCCTCCTCGGCGAATTTGAGCCTGCTGGTCGGGATGGCGGCAATGACCTGCAAGGGAACCAGCCCGCCAGGGCGATGGGGCCGTCCTTCCGGGGGGTTTTCTCCCCTCTGTCCCTCCCATCCTTTTACCCACTTACCTAGTCATGTGACCAACTCACGCCTTAACCCACCTCACCTCCTCCTCAACTCAGTCTTTTACAATTTCTTATTAATTTGCTTTTTAATTAGGGAGTCATTCATCCACAGTCGGGGGCCATAGTGGAAAACCTTGGTCTTTAGGAGCTGGGCAGATGTGACTTGGAATTCCCCACACGGGCCCGGTCCTGTGTACTTGGGCAAGTCATTTGACCCCTCTGAGCTTTGGTTTTCCTGTCTGTGAAGCTGGGGCAGCTCTGGGAGTGGTGAGGATTGAGTGAGGTGGAATGTCTGACTTGTCCTGGAAGAGCCTGGCCCATGGCTGGTCCTCAGGTCTCTTGGGCTCATGCCACCTGAGGACATTGGGCCCTGGGTCCCCAAGCCTGAGGAACAGGAGCACTGGGCCGGGGTGCCCTGAGGGCAGCCAGTCCTCACTGCGAAGGCAGCGTGGAAAGGGGATGTGCCTTCCTTCTTACTCCTGCCCCAGAGGGCTCGTCCCTGGGGCTGAGGCAGGCCCTGCAGGGAGGCTGAGGTGGCAGGTGTCAGTGGCCCCTGATGTCTCCCACAGGGACAGGCAGGTGCTGACCTGAACACTCAGCCTCAGGGGCTC